ATCCCGTCCCAAGTTGCCCCGGGATGCATAGCCGCAGGTGCTGTTTATATGCATAGCAGATTGTCTGCAGGCCAGGCAAGGCAGACACGACAGCCAGAGACGGGTCCCCAACACCATCTGCCGCGATTTCTATTTTCAACGAGAATAACAGCGTGTTTTACTTGGCCCTCCCCGTATGGTGCATCTGCTGTCCGCCTTGTCCTGGTGTGCTCGTGCCGTATCTCGTACCAAAGTGTCGTCTGCTTGTTGGACCACAACGGGTTTCCTGCATGTCGCATACGACGATATGTAGTGAATTAATCAAACGCGAGTGAGGAGAAACCGAAAGGCTGCCGATGTAAAGAAGTGGCAGCCTTGTTTTGGCATGCAATTATTCTCGATTCAAGTACATGCTGTGACACGATATTGTACCAATTAATTCATAGTTTGTACTTTTGTCTGTATCTCAATCCCATGTCCATCTCAATACAGCAGACTTGTAAATGGCTTGGTGTTGATGAGTTTCCTAATTTCCACCTTCAAGGGGGAGCTATTCTTTTTGACAATTTTCGGTTCGTACGTGGGCTTTGCTTTGTTACAAAATTCTAAATTCCGTGAAAAAGAAAGGACACCAAACGGTGCGATCACGGTGTTTGTCCCATTTGCAATCATTTTCTGGGCGAGTTCATCGGAACGTGCATCTTACGTGCATTTTACGTCCCCTTCCAGACGGCAACATGAAAACGCCTGGACAACATCCATCGGGAAAGCGTTGATGCACAACGTGGGCCGTCTGGTCCTGCTTGGTCCTGCTCGGCCGTGTCTGGATCTGGTCGGACCTCTTTGGTTCTCTGCCGCGTGGGCGCGTTGATAGGCTGTGGGAATGACGAATCAGACGTCGAGCAAAGATAAAGAATTCACCTGTACAGTGGACATGAAGGACTCCCACGAACACGACAATAACAAGAGCAACGTAAAAGACAAATTGCAATGTACGCCGTAGAATCGTCTCGTATTTACTGCTGTCTTTGCCTAGTCAACTACCTGTTGTGACACCCCAACGTACTTTGTATGCATGCACAGCTGTCTGCGGCAATGTCTGCAGTCAGTTTATTTATAAAAATCAAAGACGTGATCATCTGGAACTCTTCCAGATCCTTGCAGCATGCTATGTACACTCTACCTTGATGGCGTAGCATTTTTCAGATGCAGGTTGACGGTGTCTGATATGCACGCAAACGCACGCAATGCGTTTGTCGAAGCAGAGACACGATTCTCAAACAAGGAAAAAAAAGAAGTGCGGGACAGAAGACGGCACGGAGGTAAGGTGTACACATGCAATGCAAAAAACCAGAAAACACGGAAAGACAGGAACATGGAAGGAGAATGGGAGAATGGTGAAAGATAACAGTACATAGAGGAAACAAGAATACTCGTTACTAGAGACACCCTACACGAAGTATGCCAAGACAAGGCTCCTATCTCGCCATCTGCACCTTCGCTTGCTGGCGGTGTCTCTGCCTCCTGAATTTGCCGTTTCTCGTCAAAAGACGGGAAGTGATCCCCTCCCTGCACGTTCCCCTGGGAGGGAGAACGCGGCAACAAATGAAGGCAAATTGCGACGGAGAGAGCGAGAGAAGGGGTGCGAACAAAAAGGGACGGAGATATGGGAACGGGAGAAACGAAACACAACCAATATAGTTTGAAAAAAAATCTGACCGGTCATTTCCGCCTTATGAGAACAATATACAAGAACGACATCTCGATTGGGAAGCATGCAGAAAATATAGATGAAGACGGGCTGGAATACGGAAAGGATACGACGTACAGAACATACAGAAATACGATGTGCCCAGGGGCATCACTTTCTTCACTGATCGATGCACGATAAAAGAAACTAGAGTGGGAGGCAAGGACGGGAACCAGCCGTGTTCCCCGAACAGCAAACATGGGAACGTGCAGATTCTCGGTGAGAGCGGGAAAATGGGGGAGCGGACGGGAAAGGGCGAGGAACGATAGCGAGGGTGTACATTCGGATGGAAGTACGACGTACGCGCCATATCGTTAATGAAAAGGCGGGGGAGGCACAATATATCTCCAAGCAGATGCGTTGGCACGGATGTCGTCAATTCGTCCTGTCGCACGCCTCTTGTTTATGGCCTTACTTCCTTCCAAAAAAAAACAAAAAACAGTACTAGACACTTGTACCCTCTCGAAATTGCGGTGTGCATCTTGGCTTCCATCCACGGCCTTTCGCTATCAGAACCGTGATCGCTTTGCCTGATTTCCGCCAATTCGCTTCGTCGTTGCGCATCCTGTTTGTCCGCTGATGTCTCGTCGTTGTTCAAGTTGCCTCCCCAGACTCCATAGACCTATTGGTTGTGGCATGACAGAGGTTTTTGCCTGTTCTCCCACTTCCGTTGCCATACACAGCACCAACAGTGATGAGTGCCCGTGAACTATCAGTCATTGCAGCTGGTATTGCTGGTATTGTGAAATGCGAGATGTGGATTGCGCAAGTGTACCTTGTGCAGGATACCAAGCAGAGAAAATGCGGTGAGCATAGTTGCTCCCGGTCGTCAACCACCATCTGTCGACAGTATACTATGAATAAGCTCTTGTTCTTCCGCTTCCCACGACTGTATCCGCCAAATGTCCGTGCTGGTGATGCTGATTTCCATAGCGAGATGGCCCAGTGCTGCAACCACGCGGTATGCCCGGGGCAAGTAGCCAGCGAGGCCGCCATCGTCGCTTTTCAGTAGACAGAACAGCATGGCCATGTCTTCAATATCGCCCCCCTTAATCTCTCCATTGTCGCAGAAAACGTCCTGGATCCGTCGCAGCAGGTGACCAAACTTCACGCGCTGATCATCTGGGCTCGTGTTGCCGTCCTGCGCCATGCTGCAGACACAGCAGTCGCAACGAAAACCAAACTGGATGAGGCTGCGCTGCCGCGCCTCCGTGTCTTGCAGTAGGTTGACGTAGCTGATCAGCAGCTCTTCGCCCGGTGCGACGTCCCGAGTGGCCCAGACGACATGGTGTCCTCGAGCTGTGTCTCCGTCGCCGTCGCCATTGCCGTCGTCGCGGTAATACGCCGGCACCCACAGATTGGCCACATTGGGCCTGCAGGAGTGGTTGAGCCGCGCCATGCGAGGGAACATGCCCCAGTGCGTGCCCCAGCGACCAGTGTCTCGCACATCGACAGGCACGATGCTGAACGCGTTGCTGCGGAAAATATAAAACGCACGGCCGCTGTCCGGCTCGCCGGGAAAGCGATGCTCATGGCAAGCCTCGAAGATTGCTTGGTTGGCAGGTGACAACCTCTCGAAGCTGGTTTGGATCTGGGACACAATGTCTCCGCCGTTGGACGTCCGCGCAAACGAGGGTGACGCCGTTGAAAATGAGCGCGTTGGCCCTGGAGGCACGACGACGAACTGGGGTGCTTCGACTAACACGCGCGTGTACTTTGGGATCCGCCGTGTCGCGAATGCCCCGATGCCCTTGCCGGGTGAGGTTCGGAGCTCGTACCATGGTTGGTCGGGAGGTTGCTGCCATGCTCGTGACGTTCGCTCTGTCAAGCACGCCGAGACCGTGGCGTTCTCTTCGTCTTCCGAGTTGCCATCGGCGTATTTCGTCTGACTGCTGTTCTCAGTGACCATCGTGTTAGACCTCCGCGAAGTTTGGCAGAATCGGCAGGACGATCTGCCAGACCATATGGGAGGTCGACAATCTTACCGTAAAATAGCCCTAGACCAACGCTGCCGGCTTTCCGAAGAATGGGCCCGCGATCGAATCTGTTCGTCATTGCGAATCAAGAAGGCGAAGATTTGCATGCCCAAGGCTAGAACAGCCAGCAGCGCTGCAATGGTGGCCAACATGGCCATGTCTCAGTCCGGTGGCATCTCCTCGACGAACAGTAGTTGATCGAGTCGATTGCTGTCTTTGCTCTTATTCACTCGAAAAAACAACATAACTGTGCGACTGTCGCGACACTACTTCTGCATTCTTCGCCGCACAACTTTGCCTGAAATTGCCCAGGTGTTGCGACAGCCAGTGTCGCCATCGTCGTGGACCATCCGCATTCCAACTACCGGTCGAGGTCAGCTTTGTCGCAGCGGATGAATGCAAAACTATGCGAAGAAAATAAAGCCAAAACGGGATGCTCGAAACACCAAACAAAATATTTCGCCTACTGTACCTGTATCATTTTGCTTAATTGCAAGGAAAGGCCTTTTCACCTTCTCCATTCGTCCATCACTCCTCAATCTCAACAGGAGCGCTCAGCCTCGATCTCACACTCTTTGTTGGTCGCTCGTTGAGGCGTTGCAAATGTGCCCGACACGCATTTATATAGCGCTTGACTCAAGCGGCAGACCCGGTGACTCAGAACGGCCAGGCCGCATTTTTAATGCACTCTTCCTTCCAACCTACCTTGCAGTCTGGTGGCCACGCCGAGCGGCATGGCCCGTAAACGTTACTGCTACCCCGCTACAGTAATTGGGATTTCGTTATTCTGTATTGTCCTCTGTGCTGTGACAGCGCAGTTTCTTTCTTGAAACCGCGAGCTCTACGAGCTTTGTTCACTAGCGTTCCCAACGATGCATCCTGAATGCGAAAACCAAGACTGGAGGCCACTAGAACAAAAGAAAAAATGGTCTGAATGACGAGCTGCGCCTGCAACAAACCCCTGTCGGCATCCGGCCTATTACTTGGCGGCGACTGGGATGTGACCACGTCGGCATTGCGTTTTCTTGTAATGCGGATTTCAGAGGATCACCAAATGAAGGATCCTTTTGTTGATGGTCATTCTAGTCAGGGGTGGTGTTAATCGGTTTGGTCGATTCAGTTGTACTTAAAGCATCGATAAAAGTCGACTGGAGGTCTATCTTTGCCCTTCTTTATTAAGTTGTTGAGACGGCCCACCCGACAATATACAAGAAGAGACCATAGGCCTCACGGTGCTCAGATTCGTTCTTCTTGATACCGTTTCCTTGTCGTCGTTCGCAATATCGAGCATAGCCATGACGTCCATGAACTCAGATTCGGTGTCGGCCATCCAGGTCTCATGCAAACAGACCCGCTTCCAGATTGAGAGCCCAAATTATCGTGAGGTAAGCTCTTATTTGCAGCCACGAACAAAGTGGCAGGAGAAATATTGACCTACCTGCAGCTCGATGTCGAAGGCCTCAGTATCGCTGTCTCGGCCGGTCCGCCAGCCGGCACGACAAAAGCCAAAGGCAAGGCGGCTCGCGGTAACAGCATTGAGATTTTGTCCGATGCAACGCTGCGACTCAAGGCCGGCGAACGATATGCTCTCATCGGCCGCAACGGCACTGGCAAGTCTAGTGAGTAGAACCGGATTTTGCAATAAAGTTGGAAGCGGAGACGGTTCTCATCGCTAACGTCGTAGCTCTTCTTCGCGCCATTGCTGAGAAGTTGATCCCCGGTATCCCGGAGGAGGCCCGCATTTCCATCCTGCAGCAGACCAACGACAGCGGAGATGGGGCCGATGCCAAGGACAATCGCCGCACAGTCCTAGAAGAGGTTATCGAGCGAGCCACAGCGAAAGACGAACTCGAGAAAGAGATACAGCGTATGTTGTGCTACTGCCAGTAGAAAACGAAGAAAAAAAAAAAGAAACTCGTGAGACTAACGCGTCAAGTTTTATCAAACGGCGTTGATACCTGTGCAGCGGAGGACGACAGCAAAGATAGATACGCGGCCCTCCGTGCTCTGCGCAAGCTGCGGCATGACCGCTTGCAGAAGCGCCTTTTTGTCCTCGACAAGAACGCCCGCCTGCGCAGCGGCGCTCGCGGCATGCAGGCCCGGAAAGCTCTGACAGCGCTTGAGAAGACCGTTGCTGACGCCACGGAGGCCTGGCAGCAGGTTGACGCCGACATTGCTGCCGATACATTGCAAGCCGAAACTCAGGAAGCGGCGGACCTGCTTGCGGATCTGCAGATCCAGGCTGAGCCGGCACGGCTGGCGCACATCGAGGCTCGTGCCAAGAGCATCTTGACCGGCCTGGGTTTCAGCGATACCATGGCAGCATCCAAGGCCGTCAGCGACCTGTCGGGCGGCTGGCGGATGCGCACGGCACTGGCAGCGGCGCTGCTGTCGGACGCGGATATCCTGCTGCTGGACGAGCCAACCAATTTTCTGGACATGCTGGGCATTGTATGGCTGCAAAAGTTCTTGCTGGCAGGCAGTGGTGAAGGAGGCTTGGATGGCACGACGACAGGCGGTGAGCCGGCACGGCCACCACCGACCCTCGTTCTCGTATCGCACGACCGAGATTTTGTCAGTTCTGCCGCAGATCATCTCATCTTGCTCCAAGAGAAGGCACTTTCGTACTACACAGGCGACCTGCCTTCATACGAGGCGGCACAGGCTGAGTCTCGGCTTCATCTGCACAAGATCAAGGATGCCCAGGACCGACAGCGAGCGCATTTGCAGGAGACGATCCAGCGAAACATGCGCGAGGGCAAGAAGAACAATGATGACACTCGCATCCGGCAGGCCAAGATGCGCCAGAAAAAACTCGACGATCGTTGGGGGCTCGAGACCAATGCCAAGGGTCATCGCTTCAAGCTGAACCGCGACATGGCTGGGTTTCACCTCACGCGGCGGAACGAAATTGACGTGCCGACTGAGGCGCGGGCGATGCACATTGTGCTACCCGAGCCACCCGACCTCCGGTTCCCCGGTGCGCTGCTAAGTTTAGACAATGTCTGCTTCCGGTACGGTGTTGTGAAACGAAATCAGGAACCGCCACCGTGGACGCTGGACACGGTCAACCTCAACGTACACATGGGCGACCGCATCGGCATTGTAGGGCTTAACGGAGCGGGAAAGTCGACGCTCATCCGCTTGCTTGTGGGCGAAGACAGTATCAGTGCCGGTGCTGGTGGCCAGTCCCGCCTCAAGCCAACCAAGGGAACCGTGACGATGCACCCAAGACTTCGTCTCGCGTACTACGCACAAGATGCCGTCGACGCTATCCGCGCACTCGACATCGACAACCAAGACGAAGCCCCAATGACGGCTCTCAGCCTTCTCATGCGTGATGCCGCCGGGCAGCTATCCGAAGGCGACCTCCGTGCTCTTCTTGGTGAGCTGGGTCTGCCGGGTCGTCTAGCATCAGACACACCGCTGCGGCGGCTGTCGGGCGGACAGCTTGTGCGATGTGCACTGGCACGATTGCTGTGGCAGCGTCCGCAGTGCTTGGTGCTAGATGAGGTCACGACTCACCTGGATTATGAGACGAGTACAGCGCTGCGGCAAGCTCTGCGGACGTGGCCGGGCGCGGTGGTGCTCGTGTCGCACGACCGTTGGTTTATGCGGGGTGCTATAGAAGGCGAAGTTGACATTGTGGCAGGCTCGGGATCTGACGACGACGGTAGTGGCCACGACGATACAGCAGGGGAGGATGGGCCTGGTGGAAGAAAGCTCGTCTATCGCTTGCGGATGGGCAAGTTGACGCTGCTCGACGGCGGTGTGCAGCAGTTTGAAGATGTGTTGGAGAAAAGGGTCAAGAAGCTGCTGATATCTTGAGATGGTTAGCAGTCAGGTGAAGGGCGACGGTTATAATAATGGCCAATGGCTTGTAATGCATTCGGTGCCAGATAAACGGCCACAACGATCCAAAAATCTAATGTGCATTCTTCTATTCAACTCATGTCTGTGTCATGTTTCTGTTGTGTTTGCTGTAATAGGTGCTGAGCAGCGATGTGGTTTCGTGGCTTCGTGGCTTCAAATGCTATAAAAACAAATCATTGCGTATTCACAATGACCTGAAGCACAGGCTTCGAGGCCTTGCGCACCTTCATCCACCCGCCTTGTGGGATCTCCACGATTGTTCCGTCGATGCATCTAGGAGAATTAGTACATACGTAGAAACAGATTTCGAGATTAAAGCACAACTGCGAACTTACACTTTCCGCCAGCGTGCGTCTTGCTCGAGCACGTCGACCTGCAGCTCGTCGATGGCGTCATATCCAACGCTCTCCACAGTCTGCGCCTTTACCTCGCCATTGGCATCCTTGCCCTCGGCTTCTTTTGTCCAGCTCATGCCGATGTGAGCGCCATTGTTGTAGGCCGCCATCATAATGTCCATGGTCTTGGCACCACCGACGTCGCCAAAGTGCACCAGTCGGAGCTGGCCGTCCAGTGGCTCGCTCGCAGGCGAGATGGTAAATGTTTTTTCCAGGTTGGAGACCATGGTCGCCAGGATGTAGTTGAAGCGATGGCTGAGACTGCGCGATGCGTCCTTATCAATCTCAGTGAGAGTGACATCCGCATCGTAGGCATGCGACGTCTTGAGCAGCTCTTGTGCGGCCATGCCGAAGCGCTTGTCGCCGTGCTTGCGGTACTCGGGCGTATCGCTCTCCCAGACAAGTTGGGCATGGAAGCCGTAGCTGGCGACGATAGCGCCGCGCAATAGCTCGACGTTCTCGGCCTGCTCCTTGAGCGCGGCCTCTTGGCCTGCCTCCTCCTGCAGCGAGTAGCTGACGGTGTGCGAGCCGGGAGAGAAACGGGCTTCAAAATTGGGAAGAGTTGCGGCACGGCCTTTGACGAGAGAACGCAGACCAAGGACAAACGACGACGGCCCCGTGGCAGCGGCGGAAGCAGCAGCAGCAAGGTAGTCCGGCCGATGCAGGGAGTGGAACAGCGCATTTCCGGTGCCAAGCGGCAGCAGGGCAATAGCCGGGAGCTGCCGAGGATCGATGTCGTCGCTCTCCATGGCCACACCGTTTAACAAGTCCACAACGCCGCCATCTCCACTCAGGAGGACAATCGTAGGTGGTGCATCTGTGCCGCTCGCAGGCGACTTTTGGAGCGTCTGAGCAAACTCCGCGATGGAGCGTGAGCTACTCGTTACGAGCAAATTGTATGATTTCTGGCCCTCTGGGACATTTTCGCTACCGCTGCCGGAGACGGCCGTGAGGCCGAACACGCCCAGCAGCGGCTTCAAGACTTCATCGTAGAACGCCTGCGCCTGGCCTAGCCCGGACAGCGTCGAGACGATCACGTGTAGGGACGAGGAAGCGGACGCGGATGAGGAAGAAGAAGAGGGAGAGGTAGACGGGACCGTAGTGTCCTCTCTGAAAATGGGGGCAATGTCGGCCAGAAGGTGCCGCCTCAGCACGTCGGCTGGTAGCTTGTGTGCGGCTGATTCATCGAGCACAGTCGTGTGGAAAGCAAAAGGACGAGGTGGTGGCGGTTGTTGAGCTTCGTCGCTCGATGAAGTAGACACTGTGCCCGCAGCGGGGGCTGCTGGCTCGCGCAGCCAGCACACATGGTACTCTTGGGGTTGGTTTGCATTCTGTTGGTGGCGTACGATGAACAGAATCTCATCCTCGCGGATGCGGTGCTCCGAGACAGTCAGCACGCCGTCCTTGTAGGCCACTGCAGCCGCGGGTGCCGCTGGGCCGGTGGTAGCCGTGCTGTTAACCGTCGTCATAGTGGTCTGTTGTACCCTGGCACGCGACTAATGTATCGGGAATGCTGGGAAGAGGTAAAGATGTCTCTTGAGCAGCTTTGTCGGTCGAAATAATGCCTTGTTTATGAATTTGTCGAGATTGAGTCACGAGAATCGATGGCGAGCTTCAACAAAGAGCGTGTGCCTGTAATTACGCGGTAGTTCTCGGCATGTGCAAAATCGCGATTGTGTGATTTCCAAAATGGTGTAAGACGGGAATAAGAGGACGCTGGAGGGATTGGATAAGGACATGCAACAGCATCGAAAAAGTCGACAGAACAACGAGGAGGATAGAAACCTCAAATAGAGGCACGAAATGTTTCGGTCCTGATGATGCTCCTGCCTTTGTTGTCACAGTCGCGGTTACCTATTTGAGGGTATATTTTAGCTGCTGTGTCGTTTAGGAAGGTGCGAGTCAAAGTCTTGATAATACGCCTTATCAGGTAAGAGCCTCCAATCCATAATCGCGCCGATTGGCAGTACGCCCGAAAGGCGTGTTCACACTGCGAACAGAGAGCGTGGGTCAATGATTTCAAAGCTAAATCCCGTGTAAGCAGTGAGATTTTGAGTGTTTTTCGACGTGAACGCATTTTCGGTCGCGCTGCCTGGATTTAAGGCACCTTCGTTTTTCAGTGGTAGGGGCAAACAAGGCTGTGCTGTGGAAACCCGGTCGTTACTTCCCCTGACTCTCGCTTTCAACGTGCTGTGATGGAATCGTCGCCCAGCAAAGCTATTTTCTGACATTTCCAGGCAATGATTTATTTCTGTTACGCATTTCTATTGGAATGTAATATACTATTCGTACATTGCATGCTCGCCGCCTATTTGCCCTTGGCACGGTTCATAGGTCCCCAGTTCTCGCGCGGGTTCACCTGGTACCGCACCAGCTTCTCGCCGCTGCGGCTCAACTGGCGCCCCAAGTCCTCGTCAAAGACAATAGCCTCGGGCTTGCCTGCAGCGTTTGTGGTGAGGTCCTCCTTTGCTGCTTTGCCCTCCCCTTCCGCCTCCTTGCGATCAGCGCCCTCGGCGCCATCGGCGCCCTCGTCACCCTCGTGCAACCGCAGCAGACGATGCGCAGCCGTGTTTGGGCGAATGTTCTCGCGCTTGACCGGGGCCTTTTGGCGGACAAAGGCTCGCATAATGTCCCAAAGCACAGACCAGGAGGCGTCGGTCTTGAGGCTGCCGGGCTTGCAGTGGCTGCGGGTGACCCGGTAGCCCAGACGCAGCAGCGCGCCGCGGATGGGGTCCTCGCCGGGCGTGGAGCAGTGCACGGCCTTGGCGAGGTTGGTGGGCAAGAAGAAGAAGGGAGCTGGGTCGACGGCAGCCAGGGCGTCATCCCCGGTCAGAGGAACAGGAGGCTCGACTGTGCTGGCATGGGAGGGCGTTGGCTTTGTCTCCGGCTCCATGATCTCCTCAAGAGCTGTGTGCAGCATGCCACGGATGCGGTCCGTGGTGCCATAGACGTCGGTGGACACCTGTGGAAGGTCATCGAGGATGCGCTGCACAAACTCGGCCTGGTGAATGGGGCCTGCGTACATGGGCCCAGAGAGGTGCATCTTGGTATCGCAGTGCTCGCAGCGCGGCGACGCCGTGGGGCCTGCGGCGAAGGTGTACTTGAAAAAGATCCCCGAGCCCTTCTTGTTGGGATGGCTGTGCGTGCGCAGCAGCGGCTGGGTGGCCCAGGCGCCGCAGCCCTGGTCGCAGTTGTAGACGGTCATGGTCTTGCCGGCCAGGAACTTGACACTGGCGGGCGAGCGCGTCACGGTGACAAACACACGGCAGTAAAAGTCGATCGACAGCGACAGCAGCGGCGTGATGGTCAGGCCATAGCGGGCGGCCGACGTCGCCAGCGCGTGCAGCACAATGCGCAGGCCGGCCTCGTGCGACGCAGCGCCCTTCATAGGCACGCCGCCATACAGGGCATAGCACTTTTCGGGGTAGCCCTGGGACGCCCAGACGCCGGCATCGGTACACGTCACGCAGAGCAGACCGCCGTCGCTGCGGACGGACTGGACGGCCGCATCAAAGAAGTTGGCACCCGTGCCGTAGGGGTCAAGGTCGATGACGTCGTACTTGGCCGAGGGCCGAAAGCGCGAGCCGGCGGCAGCAGCATTCTTTGTGGAAGTCGCTTCGGCCGCAGACATCAAGTCTTTGGATATGACGGTGTACATGTGGGCCAGTGCATCAGAATGTGTGACCTCGATCTTTTCTGTGAGCCCGTTCATCGATACATTGCGGCGAATGGACTCGGTAGCGGCGGCCAGCAGGTCGTTGGCCGTGACCGACACATTGAAGGGCAGCTCGTGAGCATAGCGAAGGGCACGCAGGCCGGTTGCTGACAAAGCGTCGAGAATGCGAATCTTGGGCGGTTGTGGGCTGGTCTGGGGTGTCGACTGCGAGTGTGGAACAGGTTGTGTCGTCTCGGCGTTTGTCCCGTTTGTGTCGTTTTGGTCGTTTGCCCCCCGCGACGCCAGTTCTGTCACGGCCTGCGCTGCGTCCTGTCCTTCTGCGCTCTTTTCTACCTTGGCCAGTCTTTCGCCATCAACGCCAACCACCCTTTCGTCGGCCGCCTCTGACTGTGGCTCGGCCTCGGCCTCGGCCTCTGTCGGAGCAGCATGTTGTTGGCTACGCTCTTCACGCCGCTTCCGCTTCTTGTTCAAAGCCTCCTTGCGCTTCTTCGCAGCCGCCTCTGCGCGCTTCTCGATCGTGGCCGTGCCATACGCCTTGATGGCCAGCACACTAAGATCACGGTTGAACTGCTGGATGGGGTTGTAAAAGACTTGCTGGGGGTGGTCGTCTACTGACGGTCCGCCACCACCATTTTGACGCTCCTTCCGATCACCTCCGCTCAATGGCACGTAGATGCGAGCCAGGCCCTCTTTGGCGGTCTTGTATCGTGTACCATCGACAACGACCACATTTTCAGCACCGCTGTCCAGGCCAGTCCCCTCGCCTCTCGCAAAGGACTCGTCCCGTGCCTCAGCAGTCATAGCAGTGTCTGAGTAGGCGTCGCTCAGGCGGCTGTGCAGGTGACGCGCCTGGGGCCGCTGTTTGGCGGGGCGGTGACAGAAAGCAGGTGTGCTAGTCGAGAACCAGTACACGGGGACGGCCGCACCAGTCGGTCGGCGAGCATACGAACTATTCAGTGGCAGATTCCGCTGTGACAGTCTCCTCGACGCTGGCGCCAAAGAACAAGAAAAAGAGATGCGATGGAGGGCAGGGCAGCACATCAAAGAACGTGGCGAGGATGAGGTCTTGTCTATGTCGAGCTTGGGCGAGAGTGGTTGAGCACTGTGTAGGAGGTGAGGGCGTTCGGACTGGCGACGCATTTAGATGCAGAAGACGTTGGCGACGGCTTTTTTTTCTTAGCATTTTATTTTGCAGGTTGCAGGGTAGCCAATCGTGGAGACTCAAGCGTTAGCGCGAGGCCAATGCCCGCTAGCCGCTTCAGGGCATTTGGTCTGGAGTCAGACACTGATTAAAGTGGACCCAACGAGGCTGGCTACATTACATCATGTGTAAGTGGCCATGTCCCAACATCATCCTCTACCACACAGCACGATCCCGCAATGTGCAAAAATGTGCGTGTACTTTGGAACGAAATAAAGACGAGTATATAGGTGGCCTGCACAGACAGTCTGCTTTCCATTTCCACGACACAGCCAGGAGAGTACGAGTTCGTTTTATTATAAAAAATAAATAAAAATAAAAAACGAGCAGATGATGATCGTCGAGTATTCTGTTTTGAATGCAACCGGTGCTCGTCGAGAAATGGTCGTTGAAGGCACATAGATATTGTTGTACCTTTGTAGAAAGTCCACATTTGTGAATCTACACTAGTTATTTCATTTGAACGCCGAGGTGGACGGCTGTACATTGTTGTCCCTGTAAGCACAGCATGGGGATTGTCATTGACAATCGACCGCCTTCGATTGCACGGTGGAAATAATTTTGTGCCATAGACAGAGCGGAATTTGGGTGATCAGAGAAGCTCAAGTTTCTTAGGCCGAAACATTTTGCTCTGCATAACTGGGGTTCTGGGGTTGTTGATGTTTTCCTAGAGCTCGCGTTTTTGCTCCCCCTTTTTTTTTCTCGTCGCCCTCCACTGTCAGCCCAGTTTGGTGCAGTTGTCACGCTCCTGCGGCGCTCATGGCTCCCTTTCGCATCGTATAGCCTCGAATGACTACTTCAACGCATCCAGAAACTAAATACTGCATTTTGTAGTCGCATCCCAACGCTTACTTTCTCTCCACCGTTGTGGAATACACTCAAATTCGACGGCTCGACAAGCACCTCACCGAATCCACCTCTTTCGTTTCCCTGGCGTTCTTTCGAGTGCTCCGTCGAGCACTCGGACGTACAATCGTTTCGAACACTCCTTTCACCTTTGATTTTGACTGTTTACGCTCGGTTTTGAATAATTTCCCTCCTTGGTAATTTGCATTCTTCGTCTGCATTGTATTCCTTTCTAATCACATGAATTAATTTGACGGCAGACACCAAGGGTATGCACATTTGTGTTCAAGGAAAAATCAGGGCAGACGGGTGTCTGATACAGCCAGAAGCTCAAATATAGGAGAACATCGACTACACAGCACACCCACATAGACACTCGCTACCGCCACGATGCTGCAATCGTCGATCCTGGTAGAAACGGCTTCCGTAAAGCTGGTCGAGGCCATCTTGTCCGTCTTGTGCGTCCTGTTCGAGAAGGCAGAGATCGTCGACAACTTCCTTCTCGTGAAGCTTGGACGCGTGTACAACCGTACACGACCCGTGCTCGCTTATGTCTTCCACCCAACGTGCTGGACTACCAACAAGTTGGTCTGCTTTGTCAAGGAAGGCCTCATGTCGTACAACTATCCCCACAGCTGCGCGACGTCATACGCGAGTCGGTTACGAAGAGCACGCTATCGCATTTCCAGAGCCACCGTGTCCTCGGCCATCGGTTATCGGACGGACGACTTCGACCTCGACCCCGACTTTGAGCCGCAGGGTAGTGTTGCACTTGCCTACCTGGTGCCTCCACCGGATCACATGCGCTTCCCGGGCGGCACTTTGCTGCACCGCGTGAAGAGCAGCCTCATGCTCGTGGCTCTGGCCATCCTTGCTCTCTTGTCCAAGTTTCGCCTGCGGGCGCTGCTGCCACGGCAGTGCATCTCGTTCAGGCCCTTCCTCTTTGTTGTTGCGATCATCATGTTCGTCTCCAGCATCTGGAGTCAGACCCGGCGACCAGCCCCGAATGTGCCTCATGCGATGGATTCCACCAGCACCAAGATCACCAATGCCGCACCCTGGGACTGGCCGTCGCACGCAAAACTTACCACGACGGGGCCGGACTTGGTTCCCAGCACGGATACCGAGGCTCCGGTTACGGTTCCTCTCAAGGCTCAGTTGACGACTTCAACCAGCACCAAAGCTCCGACCAAGGCTCAAGACAACAGTCTATCCGAGACACCCTCACTTACATCCAACGGCAGATGCAAGCCTACGTGCGTTCTGAAGCGCATTCGGCTTCCCATCTACAGCATCCACCTGGCCAACGAGACAAATGAGGTGAAATATGCCGATACGGCGTTCGAGGACCGTTTTCCGTCTGGCTTCTTTGATCCGTCCCCGTCCGATGTACCAGCAATGTCTAGCGAGACAACTGGAACGGCTACCGGCATGCCAGTGACAAGCAGCCCGACAGAGACCACCAGCTCGACAACGTCACCCACCTCTGCCGAGGCGGCCGCCAGTGCCACGGTCGAGGATGCAGCCGCGTCCAGAGACAAGACGAGGCCGCCCAGATCCTTCAACGAGCATGACCTTGCAGACTACTTGAACTTCCTGTCCGACAAGTTGAACCTTAGCAGCGAAGTCGACGTCAAGGTCAACAACGTCGAGCACGTCTTTGACCGGGACACGCTCAACAACCCGCCCAACTACCCCAGCGCCGACTTCGCCGTCGACATGGGCACGCCCTCGCTCGCCACCATTGACCAGGGCCTCGACGACTACTACTCGGGCTTCCAGCGCATCCGGGTGCCCGGCCGCACGGCCCTGCGCGCGCATGTGGCGAACGAGATGCTGCAGTGGCGCAACGACTACGGCGAGGCGTACAACCGGGGCCAGTACGAGCACATGCCCAAGACGCACCTGCACGACGTGGAGCTGCAAAAGACGCTCAAGTACGCCGAACAGGCAGCGTACCAGTGGCGGGTCGAGGCCAATGCGCAGCGCCAGGCCGTCGTGGAGCGCCAGGTGCTCAAGATTGCGCGCATGTTCCGGCACCTCAAGCTCGGACCGGGCCACCAGGACGCGGAGACGCTCGAGGACAACGAGGTCGTCGTCTTTGCGTACGACAACCCGCGCGACGCCGACCACGGCATGCTCGGGTACGTGAAGGAGTGCCAGGTGCCTCCCAAAGGGACCGTGTGCAACGACGACGGCGTCATCTCTGCGGAGGCTGGCGGTAACAAACCCGTCGCAGCAGTCACTGGGAGTGCCACTCCGGGCATCCACCCGGCTGCCGCCGCTGTTCTCCATGCACCTTCTACCCCGAAGGTTCCCGACATCCCGGCAGACATCCCCGCCGTCGACGGTGTCCCGCAGGCGGCCCAGCAGCACGTCCTGCAGCAGGCGCCGTTGGCGGACACGACGTCCAATGACCACCACGACTCCTTTTTGCAGAAGATTCTGGACAACATGGCCAAGATGCAGGAGAACGAAGAGAGGATGCAAAAGAACACGGAGATGCTCACCTCAGAACTTGACATGCTTCTGGAGAACATGAAGAACATGAATAACGTCCAGCTGCAAAAGGAACATGAGCCGGCAAGTGCCAAGAAGCCGGCCGACGGAGACGACAACCCGGGATCCCGTCCTGTCTCAAGAAAGCGCGGCCTCGAGGACAAATCGGTCGCAGGTGCACCGGATTCTCCGGCAAAGAACAACGCACCGGTCGACAAGGCGCCAACTCACACAGCGCCATCAGAGTCCTCTGCCCCCGTCGCATCCAATCCGGCCTCGCCGACGTCCGTTTCTTTCCGTCCTGCAAAGCCAAAGGCGGCCCCGGTGTACCACTACGACACCGAGGGCGCTGAGCCAGGCCATGTACGGCTGATTTATTGGGACCACAAGACCGCAACGAACCGCTTCGCCATCAGTCTGCCGACCTCGATGGTCGTCCACGTTGACGGCGATGGGCCCGTGCGCGTTCGCCTGCACCGTGACAACACGGGCTTCAGTGTTTCGCAGGGCGTATTGAACAGCGACACTGTGTGGGCCGACAATCAGAATGTCTTTGAATTCGTCGAGGAGCTGGTCGTTGCCTACAACGGCGGCAAGTACATCATCGACAACAACGGGACAAACATCACATACATCCCGCCGCCACCGATGCCACCACTGCCGCCGTCCCTCGAGATTCCCTTGGCTGCGGATGTCGAGACCAAGGAAGAGGCAAGAAAGCACCGGCCCGCGATCCAACGTCCGGCATTGGCCACGCCGATGCCCATCCTGCCCAAAGGAGCCATCCGTCTGCCCGTCAGCGGCCGCGGTCTGCGGCCCGACCCGGACCGATTTGGTATCCGCAATGGCACCTACGACAGCACCATCCACGGCACAGTTCCGTACGGCCAGCCGCTCAAGAGATACAAGAACCTGCCGCCGGACCTTCCCACGGTGCTGCCTGGCACGCTGGACGCCTCGGGCCTCGCGTTTGCTGTCAGCACAACTTACTCCAAGCTGCACAACAACGACTTTGCCGCGATTGACGACATGGGCCGCTGGCTCACCGATGGCCAGGGCCACTCGAACGGCGCATTTTTGTTGCTTCTGCTCCATCGCCCCCGTGGCAACGAGACACAGGTCGTGACCAATCTACTCGCGGAGCAGGGCATCTTCTTTGACCTCGTCGAGGACTGGGGCCACATGAACGAGGGCGTCGGCGGCGGCCCCTCGGACGTCCATCCGCTGCCCGTCGTGCCCGACGCTGCCGCCATCCGGTATTCCAATGCGCTACAGTTGCTCCAGTTGTACGACTTTGCCAACTTTGGAGGCGGCCGGCCGTATAAGCCCAAGAACCAGAGCCAGGTAGAGGACGCGAACCAGACGGATGCTGTCGATTCAGACGAGCGTTACCCGGCGTGGCAGCTCACCGTGTACGCGCTCATCGACGACGACGTGTTCGTGCCCGACATGCGCCGCCTCGTATCAAAACTGCGCGAGCACCGCGGCCTCGTCGCCACCCACGAGACGCCCCACGCCACGTCACCCGAGTCCGCGCAGCCCGAGCTCTACAACCAGAACCTGTACCTCGGCTTCCCCAGCGACCCCTGGTCCGACTGGACGTTCCACAACGGCTCCACGCTGTACGACCAGTACGCCTGGGAGTATGCCACCTTTGGCCGCGCCACGTCCACCGGCGGCCTGGACAACCGCTTCATCAACAAGGACGTCGGTACCCTGCTGCCCTCGTCCTATGGCGGCGGCGCCGTCTTTCTGGCCGCCGACCTGGCCCATCGCGCTGCGGAACTGCCGTGCATGCGCACCTCGCTGGGTGACAACACCATCAATACCGTGTACAAGGCCAACCGCGCCGCCTTTGCCCGCGGCGAGCACCCAGAGCCCAGCTGGGATGAGCAGCTCTTCCGCTGCATCCACGAGGAGATCCCCGAGGTCGTGCTGCGTCTCATTCCCAGCTACTACGCCCCCGCGGACGCAGCCATGTATGGCGGTAAACGGCAGTCGGGTGCCGACGACTCCCAGTTTGCCAGACGCCTGGCTCGCCTTGGCCAGTACGACGGCGGCACCAGCCCCATCATCATGCACAACCAGCGCACCTGGCACAAGTTCGACGCCGGCGCCACCAACCAGGTTGCCGACCTCTGCGGTGCCGACTGCTTCCTGCAGCGCTTCCACTTGGGCGACGGCTGGGTCCTCGTCAACGGCCACAGCCTGACGCACTACGACAGCCTCAGCATCCACCCGCTCCAGCGTCGCGACGACATCCACCAGGCCGACAAGGAGGACGTTTTCAGCGGAGCAATTGGCCGCCGCTACCAAGCTCACCACCTCCAGCGCGCCTACTTTGACAAAATCGGCCTCGTTCTCGAGGACCCTGTCCGCCCGCGCGACCCTGTCGCCCTTGACTGGCACGGCAAAAAGAAGACATACCCCCTCATCGAGACCACTGTGCTCGAAGACGGCGGTATCGTCCAGGTCTACCTGCGCCGCGCCGCCTCAAACGTGCCCGACCTCACTGCCATTGGTGGCCGCGAAGCCTTTGAGACCAACCACCGGCACCTGGCCCCTCCCACGAGTGTCATGGGCGGTCTCGATGGCAGCAGAGACGACGATGCAACGGAGGCACGCAGCCCTGACCGTGACGAGCTGATCATCTTGGTCCACCGGCCACCGGGCCCGGCCGGCCTGCACACCTACGGCCACCACAACACCGGCCACGGTTACCACTTTTCCACAAAAGCGACCTGGCTCGTCAAGCTTGTCATTCTCGTGTTTATTGTCGTCGCCTTTGCGGCCTTGGACGCGCTCACAAGGCAGTATGAGAGCTTGCATTTGAGCAAGGGAGGCCGTGGCATCGTGTCTCACGCGCTCTTCACAGTCTACACGCATCTCGAGGACCGCGGGCATCTCGACAGAGTCTGCGGCTGGCACCTGACCCAGATTCTCATGCGAATGCACCGGTGGTTGCAGAACAAGCGCTATTTCTTCGTCTATGTCCTTATGCTTGAGAACTGGATGCGATCCCTGCAAGCGGCGGACGATCGGCCGACCCCGAAGTCGATCTCATCATATGCGAGAAAAACCCAGAAGGGCTGGTTCGATGATATCGCGGACGAGCTTATTGAATTTTCCGCTGTACGGTACGTTTTGCGGTTGCCGGGACGGGTCGCCCAAGGACACAACGATACTATCGCATGGCTGCAAGATCGCTTCATGTGCCCGGATGCCGAGGTACCAATCGATGAAGAGAAGGGCTTTGTGACGACCCCACGGAAGGTGGGAGGCCCTGCGGAAGTGGCAACTGGCAACGCAGAGATGTCTGCAGCAGAATCTCCAGGACCTTCAAAATCCGCAGATCCTGCAGAACCCGAAGATTCTTCGGAGCCGTCAGAACATCTTGGGTCTCGCTTGAGTAGACTCGAAGCATATGACGAGAGGAAACGCGTCGAACAGCTTACCTATGCGAAAGTGAATCATGTTTTCCGGAACGCAATCGACAAAGCAGCCGAGACCGGTCTGCCCGTCGGCACGATCTTGGATGAAGTGGCCGCCAGCGTCTCGAGCATTGTCAAGGCCAGTCCGTCACCAGTGGCCAGTCCCTCTTCTACCACCAGGCATTCTTCAGCCGCCAAGGCATCAGCGTCAAAAACACCCTCGCGTAAAGACAATGTCGCACGCCACAAGCAGATCCAGCAGTCGCTTGATGAGTGGAGCTTTGACATCGCAACTCCCAGTCGGCAAGCTGGGTCTTCAAGGTCAAAGAGACGCTCATCCGAGGAACGGGCCTTGCTTCGCAAACAATCAAACGACTTGTGGGGACAGGACATTTCGAGTCTGGATGTCTTGGACGATGAGGCTTCCGATGTTGCACCGACTGCTTCGAGTAACGAAACAGTCGCCAAACACCAGATTGAGACTGATCACTCGGAAATCGGATCCTCTTCTGGAGTGTCTACGTCAACGTCAGACGAGCCCGCTATGAAGAAACACTCTCTAGAAGAGCTTACCAAAGATATACCGCTCGCTGAGGAGGCCAGTGCGACTGCTGACGATATGACCGGTAAGGTTGACGGAGAGGTCGAGAAGAGTATTGAAGCGCATGCCGTCGAGGACGACGTTAAGGACAGAATTCAAGAAGACGTTGAAGAGGAGGCGGAAGAGGAGTCGGAAAAGAAGATCGAAGTGGACGTTGAAGAGGAGGTTGAAGAGGAGATCCAAGTGGAGGTTGAAGAAAAGGCCGCCGAGAATACCGATGAGGTTACCACCGAGAAAGTGGAGCAGAATGTTGCCGCGGGTACCTCCGACGATGTTCCAGAAGAGGTCTCAGACGATACTCCGCAGGATCCAGATGATATGTCAGAGGATGCACCGAAGGATATCACAGGAGGTAGTTCAGAGGCTCTCTCAGACAGTCCTGCTCTGGCTTCCTCTTCCACAGCAGCACCATCACAAGAAGAACGTCTCGAAGGAGCCCGCCAAAATGCTAAAGACCGCGCCGCAGCTCTCAAAAAGAAGAACAGGAAGAAGAAGAGGAAGAAGAATAACGATAACAGGAACGGGTGACCTGGGTTTTTGCCATGTTAGCTGTTTTGTTTTGCTTTGTTCTAGTTTGTTTCCTACCCTAAGATACTCACATCGCGACGGGATGACAGCTTTTCCAGCATGTTTTGGTTCCGTGGGTTTCGCTCTCTCCTCAGCCAACACCCTCGCCTAGCTTGTTTTAAGTCGGCATTGTGGTGATGAACTCTGCTCTGTCTCATGGTTTTTAATGTGCTCATTTTGCTTGCCCTATGCTTCGGGTCTGCTATATTTCTGGCATGGCATACATGGCCATACAGCGGCATAGCCAGACCACTGATATCCCACTTGCTTTTGTATTTTCATTAGTGTTCAATGTTACGGGTAAAATCCAAAACTTTTCCAAAATAAATTCGTAAAAATATTTCTGATATAAAAAGAATAGACCATTTGCGCCAACGCCGCTTATATATACTGAAAGCATCATCACCAAATGTCAGGTCCGAACCGTCCGCCCTCAGGGACGGTCTGATATGCACAGGCCTGCCAGTCGCACCCCTGCTTGTACACCTCGGTGCCCCACCAGTGGAAGTTGGTCGCGAGGCCCGAGTAGATGAAGGCGAAGAAGACCACGACGATGCCCGAGGCAAGCGCTGCATCAAGCGCTGCACTGAGCGTCATCGTATACTTGGCCCACCAGGCAGTGGCACGGCGCTTGACCAGGTAGTTAAACAGATAGCAGACGAGCGCCCAAACAGAAAAGTTGAGGCCGGTGGCCGGCGGGATCCAGCCGAGAGAGCCCAGCAGGATCGGCAGGTTGATTTTGCGCACGAGGCTGTCGCGCCGGTGGCGACTGTAAAGCCATAGGGGGACGGGTGCGATGGCGCCAACGAGGAAACACCACACGAGCGGGCGGTAGATGGCGTTAGGCCCAAAGAACTCCCCGGGTCCCACGACGCCCCAGAGAATGGACCCGTTGAAATGGACACGGGCAATGGGGCAGATGAAGCCGTTGAGCGCCTCTGACGTGCACAGGCCCGGAATGTTGCCAAACATCCAATTGAGGACAGCGATTTGGGATACCGACGAGACCAGCGTGGCGACCATCTGGACCTTGAACAAAGTGCGGGGCGGAATCTTCATGTAGTGGCCAAGCTTGAGGTCGGCACAAAACTTGATGCCCTGCGCTGACGAGATGTAGCCGTAGGTGACAAAGACCATGTTGGCGACTGGGCGTCCCGGGAACATGGCGCCACACACCAGCTGGCAGATCAGGTAGATGCTGACGTGCTGGTTTGTGACGGCCATGACAATGCCAATGGGAATGAACAGGATGGCGCAAATTCCAAGGGCGAGCAGTAAGCCGTACCATGGTAGGTGAACGGGATAGTACTCGACAATGAACATGCCGACAGCTGTCATGGACACGAATGTCACAAGGTACCACCACATAGGCGCATCACGATATCGCTTCATAAGGCGGTTGTGGACATCTTCGTGGCTCATGAGGCCGTCCATGGTAGAGTCACTCACGCTGCGGCTGGTGGCCGACTGCAGAGGGACGGCATTGGACGCAAGGTTGGCCGAGCGGGGATTATCGACATCCGTTTCGTCGTCTTCAATCATGTTGTCGGCGGTACTCGTAGGCACGGGCTGATACGCACCCTCCCGGTCTGCAAACCCGCCGAGGTTCGTCGTCCGTTTGCTTGCTGCTGTTTGCAGTTTAGCCTCGTCCAGCGACTGACACCACTGACGCCAGATGTCTTTGCCGTGCCAGCAGGCGGTGTGCGTCAGCAGCGAGGCAAGCCCTGCAAACTGCACGCCATAGCTCAGAACATACGTGATGGGCAGAAAGACACGACTGTAGTTGCTGTAGGCTCCACGGTCGAACAAAAAGTCGGAGGTTAGAATCCGGCTGACATCGTAGACCTGTCCCTTGTTGTCAAAGACCGAGGCCGAGAGGATGGGCATAAAGGACGAGTACAGCCAGTTTCTGTAGTAGGCTATCGGCGCGATAATCCACATGACAATAACGAGGCCACCCACGACGTTCATGGCGGCCCAGAATGGCGTGAGGAGGGGTGAGCCAATGTAAGCAATCTGCGCCCAGTCAAAAGTCATTGGAAACAAACCAAGGCCAGACACAACTCCGAACAAGTTGGAGACAACGACGTTCCTAGGCGCGAACCAAGTGATGACGTTGAAGTAGCTGAGAGCAGGCATCAAGAGACCGGGGATGAAATAGAACGCAAAGGCGCCGACGAAGACGGCATAAAAGAAGTGCCAGCGGCTGATGCGCCAGCCGTTGGCAGGCTTGTTTTCTTCCTTGTGAAGTGTAGCAAACATGGCGGCCGACATGAGCGTAGACGGCCAAATCATGCCGCTAGGTCGCACGAGAAAGCGGCGCGACAGGCCTGCAAAGGTGTAGCCCAAGATCTGGGTCGACACAATGAGAAGCAGCTGATAAATGATGCTGACATCTTGCTTATAGAAATGCGTCTGCTCGACGATTACGTCTGTCGCAAAGGCGAATCCAAACGATACATTGCTGCTCACATAAACGCAGGTGTGCTCTTTTTCGTTCCAGCTGCCCTGAGACAGCCAAAGGCGGATTCGCACCATCCGGCTGCAAATCTGGCGTGCGTGTTGGCCCGAGTTATGCACAAGTACACCGTCAACAAAGTCCTCGGGCGGGTCGTCGGCACGCTTGAAGACCATATCCCAGGCGAGGCCGAGCGGGTGTACAAGAAGAAGTGCAATGACGGGTGTAATGGCGACACTGGGGTAGCGTAGGGAGAAGAAGAGGTTTGTGGACGAGCCAAGGAAGGAGAAGAGTATCGACAAGAACCACATACGTGGTGTGCTAATCGAAAGCAATGTGTTATCGACGGGGGCCACAGAAGCACGCACTTGTGCGAAAGGTGAGTTATCCGGTGGGTTGGACGAGGTCGCATTGTCGTCGTCTTCGTCATTGCTACCAAGCGGGTCGCGCTGGGCCGACGACTTGCCAACTTCTCCAGAGTCGCCAACGCTACCATCCACCGATTCGCCATAGCTCGAGCCGCAGCCGTTGTTGTGAACGTCCGTGTCTCTGAGCATGGGATATCCTGTATCAGAGACTGTGCCGGCCTCGCCATCATAATAGCCCCCAGACAGTCCATCCTGGCCATCGTTGTTGTTGTTGTTGTGATCATCGTCGTCGTCGTTGTCGTCGTCTAGCCCGCCGCTGTCAAAGCTGGCTTCGCTCGGCGCGGCCGTTACCGCTGCGGCCGCGCCAGCAGCATCGAAGCGTGTGCCGCCCAGGCCGGCAAGCATCGCTTCCACCTCGAGCTCCGGCGGGGGAACGCGTGTAGAACCGCCCGTCACGGCATCGTACTGTGCAAATAACGACGTGGCTTGAGACCGCTGTCGCCGTAGAGTGGCATGCCGTGTCGAGGCAGCACTGGCACCGGTCGACATGCGGCGTAAAGGAGCTTCGGCTGCCTCTGATTGAGTATGGATCGGTTCGGTGGGCGTCGCTGCAGCTGTCGCTACAGCCGTAGGCGTCGAGGTGCCGGATCCGATACCTGACACGGCGCCATAGGACGGCTTCTGGAAGCTCGGCGACGAGCGCAGAGACGGTGGAGGTTGTCTTGTCATCGGATCACCGTCACTGGGGCGTGTCTTGGAGGTGCTGAGCATGCCGCGATGGTTGACTCTCTCCTCCTGGGCCGAGTCCGAGGCGGGCAGGCCATGTGGTGTATACGGGGCGAGGGGATGAGGTGATAAGTGACGAGACGAAAAATACGGAGAGGAATTGGAAGCAGACAGAGTAGAAGTAGCAGCTTCCGACGCAGGTGAGTGTGGTAGGGTGGCGGTGGATAGAGCAGGCGCGAGAACGAGAGGGTCCAGAAAGCGTCGTCGGTGAGAAATGTGCAGCAACGCCCGTGGCTGAGCAGTCACTTATCGATGTCAACGAGGCGCCGTCTTCAATAGAAGTTGGCGGAGGAGGCGGCCGTTGACCAGAATGTAAGTCGGTGCAGAAGCCGCGGTGTTGCACCCGTAGTGGGAGACGAGGGCGGCTTGCAGCGGCATGACGGGGCGACCTCAAAGACTAGGGTAGGCTACGGGCATGTTGGCAAGGTACGGTCAGTCATTTGGCGGCCAGGTTGGAGCGCGAAAACCGATAAACCTACCAGGACATGATGCGAGTGGGGCAAAAGATGGGCAAATGAGTGGCACTACGTTGTATGTCGTGCAGTGTTAGACACCTAGCATGTGGACGAAAATAGCGAAACTGCGTGGGCGGGCGGCCCGAGAGATGAGGCTGAGGATGGGACGAAAAGAAACACGAGGGGAAATGCTATGCGTCAAGAGACAGATCCTAAAACAGAAAAGATGGTGCGAGGAGTGTTGAGACAGGCAAGATGCTACCCAAGAGGACCTGTGGGTCAATTGAGCGGCTCGTGAATGCCATGTGCCTAGCGAGGCGGGAGTGGAGTTTTGCTTCTGGCGTGGGATGGCCCGGCACTTCAATCTGATGTCTAAGATCGTGATGGGTTGATGTGTTGCAAAGTGTGCGTCGCCTGGGACGGATCTAAATTGGAGGTTTTTGTCGATGCAGGCGGAGATCTGATTCAAGGGCTGACCTTGCAATGGGTTCCTGGGCTGCGCCTGCCGTTGTAAAGAGCAAAACGCACTCACTACATTCGTTAGCGGAAGGTACGAGGGACACTGAAAGGAAAAAACGAAGAATGGAAAGTGCTCACGAGGTCTTCCGGGTGCCCACATGGCAGGGTAGCCGTGCAAGGTTACCAGCGCCAGCAGGTGCAAGCGGCCAACCGCAGGTGACGTGCAGGCCTGTCAATGTCAATCCCAGCTGGCGCGCTAATTCCGCTTCCACGGCTACCCAACGACAAAGCCATAATTTTGCCAGCAGGCATAAACAGCTAAGACGAAACTACCACATACTGTCACACCAACTTAACTGTTTCAACTTGGCCATTCTACCGCACGAAACACCAATTCACAAAAGAAAAGGTCGTTTCTAGTGGCCACGCTTTCTCCATATGCCGCAGCCGCCTAGGAACGAAGCCGACGGCACGATGACGCCGAGTGCCGTCCTGGGCGCGATGCCCGCTCTGGCTGTGGCCAAAAACCAGCTCCGGACCCAGATGAAGCAGCAGCTCAAGTCTCTGCCCGCAGCATCGGTGTCTTTGCAGAGTGCGGCTATCCACGGCGCGCTATTGCGCTTCCCGCCGTACGCGGATGCGCGCCGTGTCGCAGTTTTCTTGTCAATGCCTGCCGCCGAAGTGCAAACGGACGCCATCGTGCGGCACGCTCTCGCCGCCGGCAAGCAAGTGTTTGTGCCATATCTGCACAAGCCAGCAGCGACGATAGCGGCCGATGACTATATCCCGCCGCGCGTCATGGACATGGTCCAGCTGCACGATCTTGCCGACTACGAGGCGCTGGAGCGCGACCGTTGGGGCATCCCGAGCGTGTCGGCCAGCAGCGTGCCTACGCGCACCCGCGTTCTGGGTGACGATCCTCGGGAGGGTGAGACAAGTGAAGGCGGAGAGGGGAAGCGTTCGCTCTCCGCTCTTGACCTTATTCTCATGCCCGGTGTTGCCTTCGACGTCCACCCAGAAACACGTCGCATCCACCGCTGCGGCCACGGCCGTGGCTTCTACGATTATTTCTTGCATCGCTACGCACTCAAAATGGCAGCTGCTGTCCCGCCGCCGTCCCAGGCCGTCTGTCTTTACGGCCTTGCCCTGAGCGAACAGGTCTTGCCTGCTCATTCCGTGCCAGTAGGTCCGCATGACCAACCGCTAGACGGCCTCATCACGGGCGACGGAGCTATAATAACACCGGAGGCCGGGGCAAACACAAACCAATAGACGTTGTTTATATATTCACGAAAGCGAAATGACACGAAGTTACGAGCTACAAAGGCCCCAGACTGGAAGCACACTCATGCTCTTAAATGACTAAGCAAGGCTGGCAGGTGCATGCGCTGTGAAATTGCTCCAGCACCTCCCGAACGCTAACCTGGAAGGCGCCCACCCACCATTGACACCCCTCTTTTTGCCCATTTTGTCGGGCCACTCTGTAATTTTATGCCCCACCTTCCTGGCAACAAAGACGCAGTGAGGCAGTCCCTGTCGACGCTTGGCCGGTTGCTCTTGCCTACTAAAATTTTCTTGTTTTGTTTGCTTTCGGGGTTTGTTGTGGCATTAGCACTTTCCCGCTTGGGTCGGCAGCTGCCAATTTGGAACACAGCCTTCAGACGGAAGGAACACCCAAAGAAGTACCCAGGCAAGCAGGACATCGTGCATCTACATCTCCATTGGCAGCATCTTGCTCTGCAATTAATATCCCCCCTTCACCCGTGAGCGACCACTGCGACCGTGCACGCAACACCCCATCGCTATCCGCCCCGCCCCGCACAAGGCGCCGTCTACTCCTGTCGCGCCCCTCGGTCCGTTCACCACGTATCGCCCGCGCCTTTCGTTTGCCCATTTTCGCCGCGCCCTCGTTCACTTCCTCCTCACGTTCGTCTCGATCGCCACACTCGTGTTTTCCTTTGACGAGCACCTCCATCTGCACGGATCTGCGGCTGGGCCTTGTACATCTCGCGTGCCGTCCTTTCCACCACGACAAGCAAGCGTCCGTTTGAGCCAGCATCGCACCTCTGTCTTCGGTTCATATTCAATCATCTCCGTTGCCCTCGCGCGCCCTCGTCGGCCTCTCTCTGTCGGTCGAACGTGAAGCGGCCATCGTCCGCCAATACACCCGGCTTCTCTTCCGCACTTCTTTTCACATCTCCCGCGCCGCCCACCATGGCGTCAAACGGCGCCGCCGAGGTCTTCACGCCCGACGATGTCCTGGCTGCAATGGTCACGATGCGCGGCAGCGACGCCAGCAAGAAAACAGCCGCCATGGACTACCTTGCGCGCTTCCAGAAATCGGTTAGTTTGGACGCTGCCTAAGGGCTGCAGTCCACGCGCTTTCTCAGTCTCATGTACTAACACACAACCCTCAGGAGGGCGCATGGTCTGTCACCGTCACAGTCCTGCAGTCGTCCGTCGAGGCCGAGGCCATGCTGTTTGCCGCAACAACACTGAAGGGCAAGGTACGCCATCTACCCCGGAACTCCGTCACGAAGTCCACACCCTGCGTCCTGCTCTTCTTCGATCTGGAGCCTCATCGCAGCCCCCATCGTCTAACAACCTCACCAGATCACATTTGACCTCGCCACCCAGGTCCAACCCGCCCAGCTGCCGGAGCTGCGCAACCAGATACTGCTGCTGCTGAAGAAGTTTGCGTCCGGCCCGCGGCCCGTCCGTGTCCAGCTCTGTGTGTGTCTTGCCATCCTTGCCATCCAGATGACCGACTGGAAGGACGTGTTGCCAACCGTCATACGAGCGCTGGGCGACGACGTCGACAGCCATGCCTGCATCCTCGACTTTTTGCGCGTGCTGCCCGAGGAGGTCACCGAGGGCCGCAAGATCACGTTGTCGGAAGAGGAGCTTGCCGACCGGACACGAGAGCTGCTGGGCGACAATGCCGAGGAGGTCATTGGCCTTTTGACGTCCTACTCACAATCTCACTGTACGTACACGCGCGAGATGCAGACTCTTCAGCTGATGTACCAAGCACTAACAACTGCGTGTTTTCGCCCCGTAGTGGCTGCTTCAAACGGCCCCCTCTTACTTGAGTGTATTACTTCGTGGCTACGCGAAGTCCCCGTCAGCAGCATCGTCAACTCGCCCCTCCTGAACGTCGTCATCTCGGCGATCGGGAACGAGGCCACCATCCAGGCTGCGACGGACTGTCTGGGCACCATCTGCCGCGAGACGCGCGACGTTGATGACAACCTCGACACCATCCAAGCCCTCCTGCCCCGCATCATCGAGCTCAGGCCAAACATTCGCAAGTATGCAGAGGAGGAGGACGCCGAGAGCTTCAAGTCTCTCACACTTCTTTTCGCCGACGCAGGCGACTCGTGGGTCGTCGCCATCGCCCGCGAGCCCGTCCACTTCCGCCCACTCATCGATGCTCTCCTCGAGTGCGCCGCCCTCGACAAGGACTGCGACGTCATCAAGTACACGTTTGGTTTCTGGTACGAGCTGAAGCAGTACTTGGTCCTGGAGCGGTACATCGAATCGCGCTTGCAGCTTGTTGATGTCTACGCGAAGCTCGTTGACATCATGCTCGTCCGACTGCAGTACCCGCGGCCTGACGAGGAGGATGCCGCGGCTGTTGCGGCAGCCGACAGCAGTAGCGCTACCAACGCCACGCTCGACCTGTTCGACGGTGACCGCGAGCAAGAAGAGAAGTTCCGCGAGTTCCGCCACCACATGGGCGACACGCTCAAGGACGCGTGCGAAGTCTTGGGCATCACGGAGTGCCTGACGAAGGTGCTTGATGCGATTAAGTCGTGGATGGCCAAGTACGCCGCGCTCGTCACCCCTACCTCGGTCCCCCATTGGCAAGAGCTGGAGGCCCCTCTGTTTGCTATGCGCGCCATGGGCCGGATGGTGGGCAAGAAGGAGGACACGATCCTGCCTCAGCTGATGCCGCTGCTTGTGCAGATCCCGAACCACGAGAAGTTACGATTTGCGACGATTATGGTCTTTGGCCGGTACACCGAGTGGACCGCCGAGCACCCCGAGGTCCTCGAGCCTCAGTTCAACTACATTGTGTCGTCCTTCCAGACCGAGTCGAAGGAGATCGTCCGCGCCGCTGCCCAGGCCATCAAGTTCTTCTGTACCGACTGCCGGGAGTTGTTGAGTGGTCAAGTGATTCAGATGCAGCAGTTCTACGACCAGATCCTCGACAAGCTGCCAGAGATGAGCCAAGAGGAGATTACGGAGGGTGTCGCCAGCGTTGTCGCTGTCCAGAAGCTGGAGGACATCTACAAGCTGCTCAAGCTCTATGTCGACCCTCTGATCGAGCGCCTCATGCGCAAGGCCAATGCGGCCACCACCGAGGAGGGCAAGCTGGCCGTCGCCGACCACCTCCAGCTGATTACGATGTTTGTCCAGATTGTCGTTCCCTACGTTCCCGAGGGGCAGGAAAACCCGGCCGTCAAGTACTGGCAAGAGGTGTTCCACGTGCTGTCGACCGTCCTGGAAAACTTTTTCCACTTCACCCCGATCTGCGAGCGCGTGTGCCGCTGCTGGCGCTTCATGGTGATCTCGTACCGCACGGACATGACGCCGCTGCTGGCGCCCATGGCCAACAAGCTCGCCGAGGGCTTCACCGTCTCCAAGCAGGGCTGCTTCCTCTGGGTGACGGGTGCCATCCTGCGCGAGTTTTCGGAAAACCGCGAGCACGTCGACGCCCAGATCACAGAGAACATTTACGTGTTTTTCGAGTCCCAGGCGACAAGCGTGCTGCGCTTCATGTCGGACCTGCCGGCGGCTGAGCTGCCGGACGTCATTGAGGACTTTTTCCGGCTGCTGGTCGACGCGCTGCTCTTCTACCCGCAGCGCTTAATTCCCTCGCCACTCTTCACGCCCATCTTCGAGGCCGCCATCTCGGCGCTGGCGCTCGAACAGCGCGAGCCCCTGTCGGCCACGCTGCACTACCTGCGCGACCTGCTGACGTACGGCAGCACGAACCCGGCCTCTTCGACGCCCGACCTGCCCGCCGATGGCTCCGCTATGCGGCAACAGCTGCAAGTCATTGTGCAGCAGTTGCTTGCGGTGCGCGGCGAGGTGTTGGTCAAGCAGGTGCTCGCGGGCATGATGATTACGTTCCCACGGGACTGCTTTGCGGACGGCAGCGGCGTGTTGCTGTCCATGTTTGAGCTGCTGCCGACAGAGACGACGGCGTGGGTCGAGCGGACGCTGCTGATGCTGCCGGCGGGGACAGTGTCGCCGGTGGAGGTGCAGCGGCTCGTGAGCAAGATCCAGGACCGGCTGCAGAGCCCAGCACAGGGCGGCCTGCGGCAGGTTAGAGCACTGCTGCAAGATTTTACCAACTCGTACCGGCGGCGGTACGTGGCGCCACGCGATGGTCTTGGCCAGCTGGAGGCAGCACGGTTCCGGTTTACGGGCTAGGTGGGTTTTCGTTGTATGGTGAAGGTAGTGGAGTAAATAGACGAAAAAAAAATGATACACAATGACGGGGATATTTTTGTATTCGTTTCGTTTGAGTGAGCTGCGAGGGCGGTGGTTTGACTATTTGGGAGACTATTTTTTACTACGTCATGAGCAAGATACCGGCATTTGTATATTTGGCAGCATTGGAGACGCAAGGAAGAGAGGGATGTAGACGTGGTAGAAATTACAGGATGTGAAAGGAAAACCTTCTTATAGAATGGACATGTGGTATGTAAAAGGGGAAAGGCAACCAAGGGGCAAAGGAATCTAAGTAGAATGAAATATAAGCACAAAAATGTCCAACACCTTCGCAGCACATAATGTATGAATAAAATATTTACACTTGGTATATAATGCTTCATGACATATTCACGCACGGCTGAATCACCGTCCAGTGACTATATGGGGATTAACGAGAAGCTCACACTGTCTCGGCCAATATCAGCGCCATCTCTTCAACGAGCTTTTCATTGTCTATTTTAGGATTCTCGAAAGCCTCCTTTCTTTCAGAAACAAGCTTTTTACCGCACAGGACCAAAAGCGGGCAGAAGGCAAGGGGAGCATGCCTCCTCATCCCGCGCGTTGACACGAGGCAGGCGAGGGGTATCGCGGCGCCTTTATAAGTTTATTTTTAGTTGTAGCTTCAATGTTTTTGTTGTGACTCCTTTTCAATAAGTACTCATGACCTACGCTGCGGCATTCTTCAGTGTGGACTAGAGCCTACACAGTCGTCGAGCGAAATGTCCATCATCACCACGCCGGTGCTCCAGAGTCTCTGGACGGATGCACAGCAAGTCCCACTAGAATGGGCCACAACACGTTTTCGGGAGCACGTCTTCAACCGCATCGTCTTTAACCGGGACCCATGGGTGGTGTCGTCGCAGCAACCTCCGCCACACAACCCGGGCGTTGCTCGCCGAGTCGACTTGGTGGTGGAGCGCATCGATCCGGCGACAGGTAGCCGGGATACCGTCCTTTTTGCCAAACTGAAGCGCACATCGGCAACACAGACTGAATTGGCCGAGTGCGAACTGCAGGCCTGCACGGCCGGATGTGCATATTTCAGCATAGCAGGGGTCTAGGCGATGACTTGCATCGGCAGCCAGGCACGACTCTGGATCTTTGATGTCAATCAAGGCTTTCTGTTCCCTATTTTTCAACGTCACACGGCAAAGCAGTGCGTGCAGAGTATGTTAAGCATTTCTGTTTTGCATATACGGTATCCCACCTGCATTGGGACACACTGGTCTTCACAATTGACTGTCCGTATCGTCTTTCCGCCCTTCACTGCGATTTTGGCTCATATGACATTGTGTACGAGCGGTTTGTTGTGTAGTGCAAATGCAAAACACCTTGGCTGATGTCGTGGCACTCCCAACCATCTTCGTTATGGCAGTGTCGCGCCGTACGCGCCACATCAACAGCTATCCCATCGTGGTACACGTGTTTGTAAGCGCGGTATTGCAGTGGCCGGTAGCAGATGACGGCCGGATGGTCCACTACCCAGCTTTCGTCAACAAAGAGACGGCACTCTCCCAGGGCACGCACACCACCGTTTTTGTACCTTAGCAACAGACCACGACATGTGCCGTTGGCGTAAAAGACCCGCACAGATCGAATGTCGCGGAGTGGCGCTGACGAGACGTACGTGTCGGGGAAGCGGGTAGCGCTTGTCGTCTGCACAGAGAGAGCAGGCTGTACAAGGCGGCCGGCGTCATCAATTGATTGGGTCTCGCCAGAACAAGCTCCGACGATTTTCACAGGCTCGCTTTCGAAGGGTTCGCCGTACACAAACGTCATCTGATTTCCACGGGACAAGCAAATGGTCTTGGAGCTCCGTCCACACGCGCGTCCTACCGCCACATCACCAGCCAGCTCCATTCGAGCCTGGCAAAACGGCACGTCGTTAGTTTTCATCTTCATGAACGTTTCGGGTCATGGGAAAAAGCGCCTAACGACGTACCACAATAGTAATACCATGCTCGCGTTGGCATGCCCAAAGGGCCATGACGCGGTCGTTTGGAGCAATTGGGAGGAGCGCCCATACCATATTTTCCTTGACACGAGTGACAAGACGTTGATATGTTTCCATGGCGGTGTCGTGGGCGGTCCGATGCACGTGCACGCCGTAGATCTTACCAGTCAGGTAGAAAAACGTCAGGCCGAAGCATCTGTAGACGTCAACGGCGTAGAGCTGGCTCGGAATGTGACGACGGAGCTGCACAAGGCGCCGAAATGAAGCAGTATGGATCAAGACGCAATTTGGGGGGGGGGGGTGTATTCCAGACACGGAGACCACGGCAGTGAGGCGGCAAACGCAAACGTATAATGCCGTTCTGATCGCACTGTCAGTCCAATTTGTTCGTATAGATTCGTGCAGATCCGTGCAGATTCGTGCAGAAGATCTTCAAAGGAAGACGAGTGAGACGAGAAAGAAACGAACCTTTTTCTCGACGAGTACATCGGCAAGAGCTGGGCTTGCCGAAACCATTTCGACAATAAAGGCAAATCGAGTCGTTGTTTGGCCCGCATACTTCGGCATCTCGTGTAGGCGTTCGATCTGACAAATGCCTTGACGATCAATGGTGATTCGGATAAAGGGCGGTAGCGAGGACCGAGGTAGACACGAGTGGCCTGGGGAGGAAACGGCTTCTGCTAGCTGCAAGGGATGCCATCGCTGCCACGAAACGACCTGCGCGAGCGGGGCGAGATGGAGAGGATTGGTCCGCCGCATAGCCCAGAGACCGAGGCATCGCACAGAGCGCCAGAACAAACTAGGAGCGGACAGCTTGTAAACGAGGCACACCAGCTCCAGAGGCAGCTTGGCGAGTATGGGTAGGCCGGCCAGTGCGGCCACACGGGCAAATACACCAAGTTCAGCATCGCTGTAAGTCGCCGGTCCCGCATCTTCCAGGTGCAGCTGGGCAGCCCGCGACCACGGCCGGCGCCAGGCGCCAAGTATCCAGAGCTCGTCCAGGATGTCTGTGCCTCGATTGCCTTCCTGTTTGCTGTTCGGGTCTACACAGTGGTCTTCGTTTCTCGTTTGCTTTTGGTCGCCTGGATCTTTCGCAGCCAGCTGGACCTGTCTTTTTTGTTTTGGGTCGGCGCTGTCCTCGACGACCCGTGCGTCTTGTCGATTCTGCAAGCATATATGCCCTTTCTGGAAAACATGACAACAATCGTAGTGCACGAGGACAGCCATAGGTGCTCGCCTACAGGCTGAGCAGGAGTGTAGGGGAATGCGGCATGGCAACAGGCCGTCAACGTCCGTCAAGATCATGCCGTGTTGTGGGAACGGGAAAGGACGCGTGATCCGCCCGGAATACGCGGTTGCGCCATCGTTTCCGAGCACTGCTTGTGAGCCGTGAAATCCAGTACGGAGCTAGTTGAAAAGGACGTGCTCACTTGCGACAATTCTCTCGTGGCGATGGATTGTATCGCCACAGGCGGCGCACTGGGGAACGAGAGGAAGGTGTGGCTGCGATGTAGATTCAGACATTGTGTTGCCAGTCTGTTCGTGACGAAGGTAATTCCCCTCCATCGTCTATGGACCTAGGTCGCGAATGTCAGGGTATGGCCATAGAGGGAGGAAATCGATCTTTCCGTCGGCGGCACACAATGCTTGACATGGATCGACGGGCGCGAGACGCGTCCCAGGCAACGGAAAAGGCCTGTCAGTGCTTTCCTGCGGCGACAGGCGGCCGTGATGAGCAGATCTTGTGGAGAGCCAATTCTATCCAATGCTTTTCGTCGTTTACCGCCGCACAGGCGACTTGGCGGATCGTAGTTTGGTCGGTAGCAGGGGAAAACTGGAGGGAGAACAGTTGTCGTGAAGACCTGGTATGAAAGAGAAAACGTCGTACTCAAAGACGAGAGAAGCGGAGAAAGAAACCAGAGAGGACAGACAAACGAGTTGGTGTTGTAAGGTTGAGCGATGGAAGGTGGGCTGGCGATGATGAGATGTGAGGATGTAGAATGGCGGCGATGAAGCGCGTCTTGTCTATCGATGAGTATCGATAAGATCGCTTGAATTCGGCCTCCCAATAAGTGCCTGTGCGAATAGAGAAAGTATTACCTAAGCTGGACGCGACGATTGAACACATGGGTGCAAAGAAAACGGCCTTGCATTTTTTTGAAAACATCATGACAAGTCGAATAGGCGATTTAGCTACGTCACCGATGCTATGCTCCGATAGACGATAAAATACTGTCTTTTTCGATGGCTGTTGTACTTTTTTGTCGATTCCCGACTGTCTTGTTTATCCGAAGACTATTTTTACAGCATGCTTAATATGTTTAATGAACTCTGTATTTTTAAAATAAAATAGGCCGAGGTTTCTTTTCCGGGAAGGGATATATACATATACCAAAGCGTGAGCAAATAGAACAGATTAGAAGATAGGAAACAGACATAACACGATACACTGAAAACGCCAAGTAAAATGCACCTCTGAAAGGTAAAAAAGAATAAAAAGAACCAAAAAGAAAACAAGTCATAAACACAACAAGCAGAAAGACTCATACAGCTCGCGTCTCCGCCTACTTCCACTCGGCCAGCCAGGCTTTCATGGTGGCAAAGATCTCCTTGTACAGGTCCGGCGCACCCTCGTAGTACTCGAGCAGCATCTCGGGGCAGTGGTTGCCGGCGGGGACAACCCAGATGGGCGCGTCCGACGTGCTCTGACGACGGCCGCCGGGGCGGAAGTCGGATGAGACGGTGGCCGAGCGCCACGGGTCGACCTCGCCGTTGACAAAGAGGACCTTTTGGAAGGGCGCGTCCCAGCCGCCGGTGTAGAGGTCGAGATGCTCCGGCGTGTAGCCGTCGGCCCAGCCCGAGGAGTAGCCGTTGGTGGTGGGGAAGAGGAGCGGGCACTGGCGGGCAAAGAAGTTGACGTCGGCGTACTGCGAGACGATGTTGGTGCCGTCCGACTCCGGCGGGCCGACCTGCCACCAGCCAAAGGGGTTGTGGCACAGCAGCCAGTTCCACTGGCGGTTGTCCTTAAAGTCAGACGGCTCGTTGAAGTCCTCTACATTCACATACGTGTTGCAGGCGGTGCCGCCGTTTTCGGCGCACACAGTGCCACGGGTCTGGTTGATAAAGGACGCGTACAGAGGCAGGGCCGTAGCGAGGCCAACGCCGTTTGGGTTGGAGAGGACAATGTGGGTCTCGCCAGAGGTCTCGATGTAGTCGCAAAACCCCTGCACATACGACTCGTCCTCCTGCCATTGGCGTATCGGGGTCGAGACCTGGACGGCGAAGTCGTCGTGGTGGTCGAGCATGCCGAGACCGAAATAGTTCTTGAGCTCGAGGATGTCGGCGTCGGAGCCGTAGGACAAGACGTGGTCGACGTACTGCACGACGGCGCGGACATCGGCAGAGCAGTTGGCGGGCAGAGCCTCATTGACGGGCGCAAAGTAGGTGTAGAAGTCCGTAATCGTCTCGACGACGGCTGAGCTGGCGTGGTGCGCGAAGAAGACGCCCGGTGCCTTCTGCTGGATCCAGGCCGTCAGGGCGCCGGGGTACGAACCGCCGACCAGGACCCAAGGGGCGTTGTCAGAGTTGTCGTTGTTGCCGAGGTTGCCGCCCAGATCAAAGGACACATTTTTGGCAAAGTATGTCATGTCCATCATGGCCTGCGGCAGGTCGAGATACTGCAGAGTCTCGGCCGTCAGGGTGTCGAAAGGAAGGGACTTGCCCCAGTAGCGGTCTGCTATCGTGTTAGCCGTGCCAATCATCTCAACGACATGATGAGGAGACCTAGAAACATACGCTCAATAATAACAACAAGGCCACCAAAGAACTCGGCGTACAGGCCTGGGATGGTGCTGTTGTGCAGGTAGCCCAGGTACTGGCTCGCATCCGACTCGCCGGGCATGAAGAGGAAGACAGGCGAGCCGGGGCCCTTCCAGTACTTGGTGCTGAACCAGAAGCGGTTTGAAAACGTGCCCTTGGACAGGTCATAGTGGTCGATCGGCTGGTCAAAGACGCCGTCGATGATGTCGGCATCCGCATCCGGATGATCGTACGCCTGGATGCCAGGCGGCTTGGGGAACGAGGTCATCTTCTTGCCGGCCACGGCGGACAGGCCACCGAAGAGGCAGAGAGCCGAAGCCCACAGTGTCGAAGCCTTCATTGTGTGTGTGTTCGTTTGGTGTCCAAGGAAAGTGAAGAAAAATAGAACAAAACGAAAGGCGACGCTACAGAATTAGAAGGCCTTTCCTCGTTCAAACAAGCAAGAAAACAAAAAAAAAACGAGAATGAGAAGATCGTCAAAGACAGTGAATGATGAAGCCACCAACCAAAACAAAATCAAACGGCCAAGATCGAGGGTTGGCCAAGATTATATGCACAAAGACGTGGCCGAGCGTATCCCGCGGTTCGTCAACAGACACCCATACAAGGCTTCACCAAAAAAGGCACAAAGCTCGCACAGCTCGCTCAGCTCGCACATCTCGCACTTGGAGAAATTGGCGAAAGGCGTTTTCGAGCATGAGCTGGGGGGCCTGGTCTCCAGCAGGCACGCTAGTAAGCCGGAGCGGAGGATAAACATAGACAATCGTGCAGATGTACACCGTCCGAAGGACTACATTACTGGATCCATTCATGGGTTGCTTTTCACCATCGTTTGCTTCGCCTCTCACAGCCCAGCAAAGATTCCTTCAGAGTGACCATGCATGGGGAGCATCCAGCACCACACGGCCAGCCAGAGCCAGTCAAAACACTAGAATGAATAATGTAGGCTTGCAGAGAGCGAGCAGGGGTACCCAGCTCCATAGGAGCAGACAAAAATTAAAGGAACAAAAAAAACCACTTTAAGCTCATAAAGACTGTTCCTCGACGTAATCCCCCTTCTCTGTCGTCCACAGGGCGGACCCCTTATTCGTACCCGCAGTTTGTTTTGTTTGCAGGGATGGGGGGGGACAGCGCACCCCTAAAAACGAAAAAGAAAAAGGAAATGATGGGAAAAGGGGCGGGTGAAGGTGGCGTGGGATCAAGCCCTACCAACGACCCGCCCGTGCAGGAAGGCGAGCCAGTGAAGAGCATCGCAGAAGCAGAGAAGAGTGAGTTTGGTCTGCGGAAAGCATAAACGAGGAAATGAGAAAAGTTGAGACCAAAAAAACTGGTGAATGAAAGAAACCATACTGGAACGACACAGGCGACGCTCATGACGCCCTCACAGCCATGGCGGAGGTCGGTTTTGACTGACAAAAAGAAGGGGCGAGCTATCTGGCCGCCATTCAAGGCTGATACGTAGTCTGTTGACGTCGTTCACGATCTTAATTCGACGTGAGTTCTCGTCGTCTTCGTCGGTTTGGCCACACCTCGTCTAGTGACATTCAACGCTCATGTCGCGCCGTATTTCATATTTGCACGTATGGTAACCGGCGGAGGGTGGTGGGCGGAGGCGGAATCTGACTAGCTCTGGCCATTGTCGCGATCCTTTCGTAACCGCCGTATTTTTTATTTTTTATTTTAAAAAAAGCCCAAAGAAACGTTGGGTGAAGGCCCGCCATCTTGGGCCGTTGTGTTTCATGATAGGCGGTCCTCATTAAATTGGCAGGCTGGGTACGGCAGACATGGCGCTGACAGGCGCGAGTTGGACGCGGGTTGTGCTGCCCCTGTGTCGTAAACGACGGCGCGAACAAAGAGAGGGAAAGGCTAGTCTCAACGGAAATAGATAGACTCTCCTGCCTAGGATATCCCCGCGCTGGGTAAGGCTAACTGTGGTGCCTGCAAACTGCGCCCTCGTGCATTTGTTTTCATAGCGCCGACGACTTTTCAGGTCGTGTCGCGCAAGTTACTGGAACGGGAACTTGAGAATTCGGATAAGCGCGCTGAGGAGCGCATTCTGGTGGCTCGCGTGTCTGGCACAAAGCTCTGTTAACTGGCGGTGTCTTCGAGTACCATTCTCGCAGAGCCTCTGCGTCTGCGTTTGGCTCCGAGCTGCGGTAAGGTGATTCTGCCTCTGCGTCGTCGTGACTGGCCGCTTCCTTGTCGCACGTCGTATTCCTGAAAGGATTAGCGTCCCCACATCAGGTCCCCACGTCAGACAGCGCGCAAGAAAGAAAATGAGGGACTCTGAGGATCCGCAGGCAGACCATGAGGCGCAGGTGCTAGAGACTGCCGAGAAAAGGAAATAGTGTGCATCCGTCTGCGTCGTATCCGTCGTATGTGCTGCGTTTCCCGTACACGGTGGGAATGCGAAATTGAGTTGCCAAGCAAAAATCAGGTGTGTAGGCGTTTCCTTGTCTCTTCTCCCGACTTTTCTTTCTCAACTTCCACACGTGTCCTAGGCCCATGTACGACTTACATCGTACAAGCAACCGTTAATGCTAAATTAGGAGAGGCTGAAGCAGGCTTATATCGAGCAGCAGATTCGTCTAGAGTTTCTAGTGGAGCACCGTCGCTTTTGTTACCTGAGATGGCCCGTCCCGAAGATGTTGTTCTTTGCACGAGAATCAGCCATAAAACATCTCCCGGTTTTTGCAAGTGATAGGGAACGCTGCTTGTCGGTTCTAAGACGCCCTGATCTTGTGAACAGACGGACGGAAGAGTGTGGCTGGAGAGTGGTGTTGAAGGCCTTCCCCTACAACATACTCCGTAAAATAAGCTTCTCTCGGTCGGGCACATTCGGCTGACCTGGTCGTTGGTTCTGTGCCAATCATAGTGCCTCCCACGGATCCTAGCTGCATCTGGTTAGCAATTTGCGTTGAGCAAGGCAGCTTTTCTGTGCCCAACGACGCTCCGCACGGGGGGGACGAACCATGGAACTTCTCCGGAGAGTCAGCCCAGCCCATTTGCGTCTTGCTGCGTGCCAAACCTTTGGATTTCAACTTGCAGGTGGCTGAGCAGCACGCTGGTCGTCTGGAGTTGCAGATGCCCCTTGTTCTATTTTTGACACCATCCACAGACTTAACATCAAAGGAAACACAACGACAAAAAGATCGGCAGCATCAGAGCCTCTTCAACTTGGCTTCAACTTGGCGATGTGCTTGGCCTCTTTGATTTCTCGGCATCAAGGATTTTAGACAAGGGGAAGAGTCTGCATTTGTTGTTATAAGCGTTTCTGGGCAAACGTAGGCAAAAGCTTGATTCCTATTCCTTTTGCACCCAAAACTCTGGGGCTCGACAATCAAGCTTTCTTAGTCTTGGAAAAGCTCACAGCTTTCCCGTTCGAATAAAAAAAATCAGATAAATAAATCCTATATTACATGGTAAAATAGCAAGTAATAAGTAAACTCGGACTCCCCAACCATCATATCAAACCAAGAGCAAACAAAATATCTATCACCACTTTTCAAGACTGGAAACCTCCAGTTTGATATTCAGCGCCAAAATACGACGCGCCCCAAACGGCTGGGCCGTCCAGTTCCGCCTGCGAGAAACGCTCGATGCCCACAGCTTGGCTGGCATCCTGCCATCGCTTGCCCTCAAGGGTGCTGACGTATGGCTCGACATTGGCCAAAGGCGGATAAAACAGATCAAATTGGAAGTCTGTCGCCACATCACTCGGCAGGCAGTCTTCTGGCGAGAAATTCGAGGAGCTGGCTTGTGTCTGGGACAGAGGACCCTGAGCATACATTTGAGCCGGATGCTGCTCTTGTGCATGCTGCGCAAACTGGTCCCATTGTTCCTCTGGGATAGCTTGCATCGCGCCGCTGCCATTGTTGTTCTCATCAACACCGTTGTCGATGTCGTCTCCGGGAAATTGCGCGGCATTCTCGCCTCCATACAAAATGCCTTGCAAACTGTCACCCGGCACCGCAGTTGCCACCGTTGTAGCACCTTCTCCGCCATCCACTGCGGTATTTTCGTCGATGGCATACTCTTGTTGCTGCTGCTGCTGCTGCTGATGCCCTTGTCGTGGTCCTTCCCCTCCGTCTTGACCGATGGCATCTTGTGTATTGCTATAGGACGAAGGGCCATCGACCGCTTCCCGTTTCAGCTGCGACCTAGAAGTTTTTGCAGACTCCACTAAGTGTGGCTCTGGTGCAATATGTTTGTTGGCGTTGTCTCTGTCACGTTTGTTGCCATCAGCCGGAAGTTCCACCCCCTCAGAGCCTGCTTCTTCGGCTGCAGAGATCTTCCCAATGTTCATCACTTTCGGTCCGTGGACCTTCCACTCATCAAGGCCGCCATCATTGCCACCTTGCCGGACACTCTTGTGCCTGCCCGTCTCTCCGCCGTGTTTCTCTACATGCACCCAATATTCCTTTTTAACACCCTCGTAGTATTCATCCATCTCGTGGAAATACTTGACATAGGTAGTTGCCATTTGAAGCCATGTGCCCATACTTTTCAGGGCCTCAAAAGCAGCCGCTGTCGGCCCGTGTGTGGAGACCCGCCGGTCGTCGTTGTTGGACAACACAGGTCCGCGTCTTCCATTGCGTTCAGCATCGAGCTGGGTCACCATGCGGTGATTTTTGTCCATTCGTGGGAAATGCCACGCGTATATGCCCACGAATGCTGCCGTCCACACTGCAAAAACTACCAGTGCTGACATTGGCATTTGCTTTCGGGTCTGGCAGATTTCAATCAGCTCGATAATATTGTAGGCAGCTTCAAACATCGTGTCTGCACTCTGTTCCCAGAACATTCGAGGCGCACTTCCTTCGGGAAACGTTGGCTCGTCGAGTGGCCCCATTGGGCGCATACACCGGATCGGGATAAACGGGGTGTACTCGCGGTGCAGCATAATCTGACAGACGGCAAAAAGCATATGAAGCGATACGTACTCGGTCGACGCGTTGTGGTTTTCGTGCTTGTGGTAGTTGGCAGTTGAAAAGGTGAACGTAGACGGAAGGTGCGCATAAAAGCTCTCGAGTTTCCCACGCAGTCGACGGAATTTGGATTCTTCCCATGGCGGTTGCTCTTCTGTGTGCCTGCCTCCTGCGAAACTGTACTCGGAGATCTCGCCCCATATATCGACAAGAAGATTGAAGCGGGCCAGCAAGCTATCGTTGACATCCGATGCGACTTCCCCCGAATCCGGAGGTCCAGCTACATGAATCCCGACCTCAGGGCGGGGCCGCAGGTACCCAGTGAAGGTCTCAAAGGACAAATCAAACGCAATTTCGGAGCAAGGAAGCTGTATCTTGACGTTTTCAGAGCGGATCATGGCCGAACGGTTCTTACCGCAGGCCAACATACGATCCAAAACAAAGCAGCTAAACATAGTACGTCGCCGCACCTCGCTGGTAACAATCTCTTTGAGGGCCTCTGCGTCGTTAACATTTTGAGAAACGGTGCCGGTTCCTTCTCTGTACAGATCCGGTAAATCAGTTTCTGGGCGTGGAGCAGCTTCAAGTCTGGCATCGGCATTAGTCCTGCTGCCGGTCTCTGTTCCTGCTGCCGTCGTTGGAAAGGTAGTGGATGCGGACGCAGCCAAACGACGGCGAAGGTGAGGAGGCTTGTCATCACCGATCCCCATTTCCAAGCCCTCGGCCATGCGGATAGCAAAACCCACGTACATCCAAGCACCCATACTGTCGGACCTGGCGTCGTCCGAGTCGTCCCGTCTGCTAGGTCGTATCCACTCATATAAACCCAGCATCAAAAACGCCTGGACACGTTCAACTGTGGCCATTCTCACGCACGCGGAGAGAGGGCCCAAAGCTCCTGACAGAACACTGGCAAAGTATTCTGAGGCTGCCCATGGGTCGCTTTTAGCCGTACTCGAAGGGTTGGACCGGTTGCCGCTGTGATTCCCATGGGGAAAGGTGATTCGCCTGACAAGATCAGTATGAAAACGAGCCGTCAGGGTGAGAACACCAAGCAAAACCAGATTTGTGCCGTCTGAGCGACGAGTCTGACTGGCCCTCATTTTGTCGCCCATTTGCTCTTTCAGTGTGGCCAGGTGCAGGAACGAGAGCTCGGTAGCGAAGTGAAGGCGATAGATGTCAAAAATTTCCGTCCACATGGTCTCCGTAAAGTAGTGCTCAGAGAGCACTTCATTTGCGTAATAGGCGCCGGACTTTTGCTCGTCAAGGCTGACAGAGTCTCCAAGCTTCCGCAATCGCTTGCGTTCTGAGGTCCGCTCAATCTGTCCCGGATCATCTCGCTTCATTACACGGGGGAATTTTGTGGCGGTGGTGACAACAAATTGAAGATCTGCGTCATTCGCTGCCGGTTGTTGACTATTGGAGGCGATATAACGACAGTCTCTCCGGGACTTGACGCAAGTTTCGCAAGCGGACTTGCCCTCTCCGTCGTTCACACATTTGATTTTTGACCTGCGGCAACGCATACAAGCGATGCTGGATCGCACAGGTGCTCGTTTTGCAAGGACGACTTTCTTACACTCCGCAGCGGCAGGGCTATCGAGGCTTCTTGGAGACGAAGGTGCACGTTCGTGTCCTGCCAGCGACGCTACAGTGGGTTTGTGCTCTCCAGCCTCTCCCATTCCACTTCCGCTCGAATTTGAATGTTGAGCCATAGAAATGTTGTGCTCGACCCCGCCAGTTTGTTGGGAGGAGAGGTTTTGGCTGTAGGTGTTATAAAATTGCTGCTGATGATCGTGTCGGTGATCTTGCTGGTTCGAGATAGGTAGCTGGTGTGGTAATGGCAACGATGGTAATGAGAGTAACGGGGGTAAAGCAGATAGCGAGGATGCTGAATAAATGGGAGGTAGTGAGGGAGGTGAAGGCAGCTGGTGTTGATGCTGTCCTTGTTGCCGTTGTCCTTGTCGCTGTTGAGGTTGGTGATGATAGGGATGATGCGGCTGGAGCTGCTGATACGGTTCATGCCGGTAGTGATGCTGATGTTGCATCCGTCGCTGATGTTGGAGTGGAGATACAAGGGAATTGTGGCGATACGGTGGCTCACTTCCTTTTGGTGATATGGACTGTGGTTCCGGAAGAGGTGACGTGACGCTGGAGAAGGCTTTGAATGTTGACGGTGATTGACTTTCCGTGCTTCTCGTCCCAAACCCACCACTCGGGCTATGACCCGCAGGAGACGGAGCTAAGGTCGGTGGTGAAACAAACGCCGGAGGTGAAGCACGGTGTCCTTGGGCGCTTGAATGCTCGTGTGAAGAAAGTATGGACTGGATGCTAAAGTGTGACGAGGTCGGCGTTGACTGTGATGAGGACTCCATCTTTGCGAAAGCTGTGTGGGCGACAGACCCTTCCTTATATGATATAGTTTGTGTCCACCCACCTTCTTTCACATAGCAGATTAAAACAGCTTATTTGCCGTTGCTACTCTTCCCTTGCTCTAACAACTCTCTGCATGCCCAGCCGCACTAGGTGTGGTGTACGTGCAGGCACATGCAGATGGCACAGAGACGAGGTAGGCGGGATACAACGGCTTCTATGAGCAGTCGCAAAGCACGTTCCCGTTAGCAGTGCGTCCAATTCAGGAAATTTCCTGTACACATTCTTCGGTTGTGCAGCAAACAAAGTGGGATTGTATACGTACATACCTGTTTGTAGCCGTAGCCGAGGATGCTCCAGCAATAACGGTCTAGGCGGCCAAAATCTCTCGGTCCTTTTTCCAGAAAAATATGGCAATGTTCACTGTTCTAGACTCTGGCCAAACAACGTTAGCAATATGAAGGTTTCCATGAGGGTGTGAATGAGTAGCCGCAGCGGATGCTCATCCACGAATAATGAATATAGTTTCGGACTGAAAGCTGATAAAGATAGTGAGAACTCAGGGCCGTTAGAGGGCGAAATAGGCTCAAGTACAGAGAATAGCAACGCACAAGACAATGACACCATCTCTCCAGCCGTGAGATACAATGAGTTACAGCCTCGACGGATATTGTGTCTCATTTCAGGTTCCGCAGCGTGTCCACTCACTGCAAGCAACCGACCTGGTCTGGACTACACAGGCCAGTTCACCAAGTAGTGACTCCGTCTCATGTGAGACACGATGCATGTGGAAGCGCCTATCTCTTGCTTTGACAAGTACGGGGATAGGGCAAATCAAAGTTGAATGCAGGCATAAACAAAGAGCACGGCGAAAGAGAGAAGGTGTAGACATGAGTTGACCGGCACGAGAAGAAAAAGGGCTGGGAATAGAGAAATTCACGCCACGGGGAGGTGTGTGTCCATTGATGAGAGGCTGTGAATGGAGAAGCCGGGAAACATAATGCTCGACAAAGTACAACATAGAAATGACAAACATAAATGTGGAAGGGCCAAAGAGACGCACCGTTCACCGCGGGCTGTCAGCCAAGAGCGTGCGGCTCCGATGTCACGCCGTTTTGTCTATAGCTTTGGGATATCGGAGAGTTGCCACTGACAAGGTTTGAGTAGCGCTGCGCGGGAAGCGAACCGAGCCGCGACAGTAGTGTGGAAAGAGTATTGCCAACTAGTGTAGTGGTTGGTGCAAAATCAAGTAGATGAGTGCTAGCGTCAAGGGAAGTAGACTTAAGGCAATGACACTCCGAGGCTGGCTCCAGGTACTGGTTGCGAACTGGTATGGTTCTCGCAATGTCGCAACGGTAGTAACGATTGTCAAATTTGGAAGTGTTGCAGAGCAGATAGGGACGGACGGTTCTGTCAGTGTTGCCGACGTGTTCTGTCGATGGGGATCTCGATACTATCTGGGGCTGAGAGAGGCCGTTTAGCAACGGAGGTGGAGGTCAGCGTTCACTGATCGCCGGCACTGCTGTTTTTGGTGTAGGTGTTCAGTGTATCATATCATGGACTAGGTATGCTCTGAGCATCTCACGCGTTTGCCGGGTCCGATGGTCCAAGATGGCGGTGGAGAAGATGCGTTGGCAAAAAGAGACGAGCAACGCGGCGGTGGTGACATTCTAGAGGGAAGCGAGTCCAGGGTCGACCAAATCAGTCAGCGTAAGAAAGAGTGAAAATTTCGCGGAGGGCGTTCGCGGAGAGAAGAGATACCGAAAGAGTTGCTGGAAACGAGGAGCAAATCTATCCGGCGAATGACAGCTGCCCAACATTCATGCAGCCATCCAGACGACGTGCCATTTTCGCCATCAGCTCTGGCCCTCTCGATGCCGGAATCCTCAAGGGTGTCAGATGGGGGAGGAAAGAAATAAAGAGGAGAACACATGCACGGAGAGGGGTTGGGACAGATTGGAGGGGCTGCGTGGGTGGGCAGTCTGGGCGCATGCTCTGCTTGCATATTTGAGTGAGCAAGGGAAAGTGACAGGCAGGGGAGGCTTTGAATGCAACATCAAGAGGCGAGCCTGGCTGCCCGCGACGCGTAACGACAAGAGAGTTGACGAGAGAGAAAAAAAAAGCTTTGTCAAGCATCTTTGGAGACAATTGAAGCGGAAGATGCGGAAATGGTGGGAAGCAGAATTTTCTTACGAGTTCTGGTCATGTTTGTCCGATTACACCTTCCTTTTTGAATTGTCCAAGGCACCACAAAGCATATTTTCTCATGATAGAAAGTACGACCAGGTAAAATAAATAAATACAATCACAATACTACTCTGTATAGAAGGAACGAATCGATAAAAAAAAAGACTCGAGCAAAGAATGGAAGCTACGACCCGGAGAAGTGGCAGGAGCGACCTCGTCTTATGTCTTATTTGACTCCTGTTATTGCAGTGGTACTGGCTCCTTCCCTATCACAGATCCTTCCCTAGGTGAACCTTTGGTTCGGAAGCTGTGTGGGAAGGCACGAGAGTGCAACCAGTTCATGTATAAAATATGCGACGCTTTCCAAGACGGCAAGCTGGGTCCTCGAACCAAAGATGGTCTCCGTTGCTTAGAATTTCCACGGGCCATCCCAATACTGTTTGGAGTTCTATCATAATTTTCAATTGACAATTGTATCCAACTCACAGACATCTACCTCGTCGACACTCAACCAATTATGTGAGGCATTGTCTGGCATATGACTTGCAGGCAGTAAAGTTAGAGCCATTACCGTCGTCGCTGTTCGGACGGTTACGGTGGAGGAAATAACTCAAGGGTGAATCATATGTTGCTGACAATGGATCAGTACTCATCCTCCTACGCAGCCGTCCCGACAGGTAACGTCTCTTGTCAGTGCGAACTTATTACGGGGCCGCTCTTCGCAGCTATCTTTTGTCGTCGCATCCCGATGATCAGACTCTCGGACACGGAGCGCTTGAGTATTGACTTCGAGTGATTGCACCTCGACAAAGTTAATCCAACATGATGTGTACCGATGCGTATCTTCTAGCTTTAACATAAACATGGCAGTGGACATAGGACGGCGCAAACTGACAAAAAGAAAAGACTGTCTGGGATACAGGAAATCCTTCAACCCTGCAATCCACTCGATTGAGTCGAACTCGCTTATTCGAAATGTAACGGTTTATCATTAGGAATATGGACATTATCCCGGCCAAAAGTCCATTTCTTCAAGGAACACGCCGAACGCATGTGCGTCTAGGCCATCACAGCTCAGGAAACAGTTTTCTTTCTTTGGTCTAAAGAAATGCTGTGACCGGGTGCGTGCATACTTGTGGTATGATATTTCTTCATTCAGGCAGGATTTCCGCGTGTCACACACACAATTTGACTTCTTTGGCAGCTGAAATTGTTTTCTTGCCATGGCCCCGATGCATTGTGTTGTTCTCGCAATCAACCAAACTCGCTCGTCATGCATTTCACCAATAAGCCATTGCCTCGTGTCAAAGGGACGCCACGAAGGGGGAGGCAACAGTCGGATGCAAACGGATATCTGCAGCTATCTGCATACAGCAAGTGATTCTCGTTATGGGTCACCGTTTTTCTTTTCAATTTTTTTGTCTCCGTTGCTGCGGACATTTTGCTGCTCTGCCTTCGGGTCCAAGCTTTTGTACTCCGAGGTAGCCGCTTACCATAGAAAGAATACGATACGCCGTGTACTTGGTATTTGAACCGTACCTTTAATATTGTATTCCAATTATCTGAATTTATACTTCATTACTTAAAATATCTTAAGTATCATGGCCAGGAACTACTAACGGTGACCAATGTTGTTCTACAGACGTTGTCCTCGAATGAATATTACTTTTTTTGACGCAGCAACTGCGTCTCGGGTTTCATGTCTCTTTCATCCTACCAACGGTGCGGGCCTTTGATTCTCTTCTAACAGCGGCAACTGGTCGAAGCTTTTGCATTAAACTCGTTCATTCTTTGGTAGACGCAGGGGCAGTTACCTTGGATGGCATGAGAAAAGATGCCAAACATATGACGTAAACGTGGAGTCACGGTTAGCCTTGTCTCAGAACCCTATGGTAACAATACCAGCCGTCTTCAAAAACATACTCTTTTTGGTAAATATAAACCAGTGCTACATGGCCTCCAAATACTGTGGCATCGACTCGAAGAGAACAAGATTCCATTAGACGCCAACACGCACTGCTACATGTAAAGAGTCAATATTTTGGTGATAAGTCGTCTCGATTTGAAGCGAGACGCCAATGTTAGACCGACAAGGTTGACGGGTCCTCATCGAGTCACATATTGACCCGTTGGAAAGAAAAGATTGCTGTCGACAGTGAGTTGCATATTTCAGGCAGCGTGTCAAACTACGTATTTCCGACTTGGATATTTACTCAAAGTTCTCCACTTATGTGTCGATCATGAAGCACCACCAATACGACTTGGAAAGAGCAAGGCTCCGGAGACGGTGCTACAATTGCGAGACTTGTCGGTATGTGCCACGTGAGTGCAAATCATCTCAGAACGAGGGGTTTGCGGTAATGACGTTGAAGATTATTAATAGTACATACTGGGGAAATACTGTAAAATAAAGGGCTTTCTAGAAAACAGGAACCACGTCGTGACCTGCGGCGTGTGCTACTCACCTCGTTGTCTCCAACAATTCCACGTCGATTAGCTGGTCGAAAGGCTTTGGAACTACTGGTTCATTGCACAATTACACAAGATTTGTGAAGCGTTGCGATTTGTTGGCTGCCTCTGCTTGACAGCTTGCTTGTGGCGTCAGAACCACTACGGCTGTGCAAATGCTGCGCTTTGGGACGGCCGCTGGTGCTGGGCAAGCCCGGGGTAAAATAGCAGTGCACAGCTTTTGAGTGTCATCATTCAAGTGTCATGTCGAAATTCCAAGAGACGAACCAGAACAAAGGTCAGAAAGACGCTGACAGCATCTTGGCAGCCAGTCCACTAGTGTCGCTGCTAGCTTTCCTGCGTCCGA